CCCCACAGAGATGTTGTCTGAAACAAAGTTGAACCAATGACTTCAAAGATAAATAAAAAATCCCTAACAAGTTCTATGTAACTACTTAATTAAGAAACTTTCTCTCTCTCTCTCTCTCTATATATATATATATACACATACATATATATATATATATATATATATATATATATATATATATATATATAAAGCCAAAGCTGTTTATGGTAGAAAGGTCTAATTTAACTCTGAAATGGTTCATCGTTTGGGAAGGGAGATCAGGATGAGCACGATTTCTGTTCCACACATCACTGACACTGGTATTCATATTTCAATCCCAATATCTGAAATTTGGAAGAAATGAGTAGAACACATACTGGGTTGTTTCTCTTACTTGTCATTTGTAAATTGCATCAAGGCTGCTGAGGCCATTAAGTGGGTGCAGTTTGGGATGAGGAGCAAGCAGCTGAATGAGGCATTGTTTAGATTTCAGTTTCTGCACACAGTCTGTGGAATGGTTGTCCTGACAACCACACTGAAACTGGGAGTGTGAAACAACATGATGGACAGGAACTAGCTAATAATGCCAACTCCATGACTGAACAGGACTTGACTCCTCACTGATAGTGTCGTTAATCTCCAGGCTAGTGTAGGCCACAGAGAACACACCTACAATGTCCTAGAGGAACATTTTTTAGTCATTTTCTCAACCTTTCTCTGTGTCTAGTACATTTGCATTCATGTTTCATTTCATCCTTTATGCCATAATTATTCTCATCTTCTGTCATTCTTGCATTTTCTTAGTCATCTCCTGTTGCTCCTTTAAAATATTATGACCTTTTGATGATTTCCAAAATCAATACTTTTTAGTGCACCGAATGTTTCTTTGCCAAGCTTTAAGCCACGTCAGCTCCTACTATGAGCCAGGAGTCACAGATATCTCATGAGAGTGATGGCTTTCTGTGAGATTGTTGATTCCTTTGGACCAGTCTGGGCCTCCAGTTGTTTGTCTGGTTAAGCCAGAGTCAGGGTGGTTGTGAATCTGTCCACCACAAAGTCTGTCACTTGATCATAGCTGGAAGGTCAATAAGAGAAACCCCAGAGCAACCACTGTGCACACTGAATTGAGCACTTCTACAAAAAATTTAAAAAGAAACATAGAACTTCATAGTGGGACAACTAAACCAGAACAAAAGGTCTAGTAGATCTCCACACTTTTATTTTGCCTTTCTCGAAGGATTACTATGGCTAAGCGTGGATGCAAAATCCCCATGGGGACAGTGGCAATCCAATAAACATCAATGACTGCTGGCAAACAACCAGAAGCAAAAAAAAAAAAAAAAAAAAAAAAAAAAAAGGAATTCAAAGGATTCAGAGGAAGCATGGCACTGCCAATACATTAATGTCAGGTTTTTGGCCTCAAGGACTGTGGGGCAGTAAATCCCTCAATGTGTGGTGGTGTGTTATGGAAATTTAGAGATGACACTGTGAGTGCCAAGAATGTAATGTCCTGACTCCCATCTTGTTTACTTCTTGAGTGTGTTTGTAGTGAAACTTGGGGAATTAGGTGCTACCTTCATCTTTGACCATATGTTTATTACTTCCTGGAAAAGTAATATATTCCCCCAAGGTCAGATACCTTCAGTCATGGTGAACATAGTGTGACAACAGCATCCACCTGGAACATGTTGTGACAGGCTCCCAGGACACTTAGGGGGAAAGGGAAGCAGCACAATTGACTTGATGCTAATGCTGCTTTCTAAGTCCAAAGTTTCTGTCTTCTGCCAGCACCGACAGAACAATAAGATGATAGCCTATTACCTTATAAATAGTGTGAAACCAAATCCCAGCCCCAACAACATTCCATCAAGGCTCTCTTTCCTTGCCTTCCCATCAAGCTATTGTATGGAGGATTGTAAGAGGAACACTTGCCTTAAAGGAACCTGAAGTATGATGGAGATTGAATAGACATACAACATGATAACTCGTGACCAAGACAATGTCAGCGCTTCCATAGAGTGCTGCTTGATGAGTTACTATAATGGAGATCTCAATTAATAGAATGCACCATAGAGCTTTTGAGGCAGAAAAAAAAACCAAGAGATGGTTGTAGCTTGGAATGTAAAAATTTGCAGAAGTACTATAAGCAGAATGTAGAACATGGCTAAAATGCGGAAAGCAGAGTGGGCCAGAGGCACGAGGCCAGACGGGAGAGCTGCTGATGCTGTCCTCCTCTGTGGTCCAGGGTGATCCTCCCATCTTTGGGATTGTACATATTGCCTCAGGATGTAATCAGCAGCTTACATGCCTTTCCATCCACTGAGAGCTATTTTAGAATAGTGATATATTTTACCATTTAAAAATATTTGACATGTGTCACCAAATACCATGCGATAAATGTATAAGCAGATGGATGGATGAGTGCATTGAAAAATAAAGATTGAAAATGGGTGACTTGATGGATCTGTGTTTGTGGCAGAAGGACAGAGGCAGGTGCTTTGTAGTCACACTAAGAAAGACCTTGAAGAGCAGGCTGGGGGACAGATAAGAAGGGCTATTGTTTGTGAAGGAATAAGCTGACCTTGGAGTCATTTTAGCAAGCTTAATTTTCAGAATTGAGCACACCACACAGGTCAGTTTCAGCATGGGTGGGGCCTAGGGGAGGAAATTCAGTTAAAGAGACAAGAGCAGTCCAGATCCAAGACGCTTTGTTTTTTAAAAAAGAAACTTGAGATGTGACACAAAGCATTAAGATCACAGTCCTTGTAAGAAGGACAAGGAAGCCAGCAGTTTATTACAGAACATTAGAGATGATCTGAGTAACCTTGAGAGTCCCACCCACGGCCAGAGGGCTCAGCAGTGAGTGGTGATCAGATGGCCGCTCTCAGTAAGTGCATTTATCATAGCAGGGGGAAGTGGGGCTCCAGTCATAGAAAAGCTCTTCTCCGCTGCAGAAAATCTGGCCTCTCCTGCAGTTAGGCAGAGATGGATGAGTTACCTCCCACTGCTGGGGGCCTCTATGCCAAGGTCTCAGAACCTTACTTATGGAGGATGAATGCCTCAGAGCTGTCTCTGAGTCTTCACTATGTAGTAGCTTTACTGGAGAAAGTCGAAACACTTTCAAGGTTTTTGTAGGTTAAATTTACATCGAGGCTACTGTGTTCTCCATGGCCACCGCTGACTCCGAGGGAGAAATATTTCTCCTTGGATCCAGGTCACTGAGGGATCTCTGCTTGACTAATGGACAGACACTGCTTCCTTCTGTACAGACATTTACTGCTGACAAGGACGGTCCTTCAAGCAGCTTACGGTGGGAACGCTAGCCTGCATTTGATCCGTGTGTTGTCTTTGGTGACAGGTTCTGGAACTTCAGTAATAGTCAAAGCAATAAGGAGGTCAAAGAATGCTTGTTCCCCAAGCAATTTATGAGCTTGTCTGCCTCCACCAGCTTTTTTCACATCTCCTCAGCTCTGTGGCTGGCTAGGGTATTTCACTCGCAGAGATGCTCATTTCCTCACCAACATATTAGTAAGAAAAATTTGGAATTTAGCATCAAAAGAACTGAACAGCATCAATGAATCTGCCCATCCTTGGATTTTTACCCTCAGCATTTAACCATACTTGTTTTTTCATTTATCTGTTCACTCAGACTGGATTATATTTGTTTGTTTTTGTTTTTGAGATTGTATTTTATTTATTTATCTTTTTTTGTTTGTTTGTTTTTCAAGACAGGGTTTCTCTGTGTTTTCCTGGCTATGCTAGAACTCTCTCTATAGACCAGGTTGGCCTGGAACTCACATAGATCTATTTGCCTCTGCCTCCCGAGTGCTGGAATTAAAGATTGCACCACCATTGCATGATTGAGATTGTACTTTTTTTTTTGGTTTTTCGAGACAGGGTTTCTCTGTGGCTTTGGAGGCTGTCCTGGAACTAGCTCTTGTAGACCTCACAGAGACCTTGTAGATCTCACAGAGATCCTCCTGCCTCTGCCTTCCGAGTGCTGGGATTAAAGGCGCGCGCCACCAACCCCCGGCTGAGATTGTACTTTAATTACAACAGTTCTCTTTTCCTTTTCCTCTTTCCAAATTCCAAAGCCTCCCCCGTGCCCCATCAACAGCTCCCCTTTAACCTCATGGTCTCTCTCTCTTTCTCTTCCTACCAATTGTTACTGTATGCATCTATGCATTTGTATATTCCTAAATATAACGTATTGAGTCCACACGTTACTTGTATGTATGTGTTCAGGGCTGACTGTCTGGCACAGGACAACCATTTGGTGTGCTCTTCCCCAGGGAGGACCTCCTCTCCCTCTCCCAGCTGCCTGCTCTTGAATAAGTGATCCCAAACCCTTAGGGTGGGAGTGTTTTGTATATGTATTTATTTGGGAACTGGATTGCATTTTAAAACTTCTTTCTATATACTTTGAAATTTTGTGAAAAAAAGTTTATACAATACAATGAAAAAACAATGTCTATGAAAAATAGGAAACATTTTATTTAGCTTTGTATATATTATCGTATTAGTAAAAATAAAGTTAACAAAATAAATATCGCTCACAAACTATTATAAGTAAAAGCATAACACCTCACTCTTCAATCTCTACACAACTGTATTGAAGTTTAAATATAAATTGACACTGAGTTCTCACATAGAAACGAAATCATTTAAATTCCATTTTCTTGTCTGTCCAGTCACTATGATTGCAATTGCTCTGAATCTTCTGTTTAAGGGAGGGACTCTGAGGTCCTTTAGGAGCAGACTGAGACAAGCATTCAGCCCCATGTGAGCTGAAATGATCCCAGCAGCTGAGGAACTTATCCTTGATCTGGGCTCGATGGTGTATACTTGTACTCCAGAGCCTAGGCTACACAAGGAAGGAGGGAAGAAAGGAAGGGAGGAAAGAAGAGGGAAGAAAGGAAGAGAGAAGGAGAGGGAAGAAGGGAGGGAAAAGGAAAGGAAGACAGGAAGGAAGGGAGGGAAGAAGGTAGAGAGGAAGGGAGGAGGGAAGGAAGGAAGAGTAGAGCCAATGAGCAGAGTGGTATGGTTAAGAAGGTAGAAAACACTTAGGAGAGTTCATCAACAGTAGAGGGAACCCTCGATGACTGACCTAAGTGGGTTCCTGCTCAAGGCAGGCCAAGACTCACAGAAGCATAGAGAATGAATGTGGCTAAATATCAAGGATCATCACATATCAAGCATGTGGGGATTTCCACAGAATCACCTTTAGTGGGCCTCTTTCAACAACCTGGATAGACTAGTGAATGACAGGGTCCAAGGACAAAGTCTACTTAAAGAGACAGCTCAGAGGAGCCTCGGTAACCTTGGGTGAGAGAGATTCTTCCCTAGGGACCACTGCTTAGTATGAATATTTTGCCTATATTAATTGAATATGAGTTCTAGAAAAACAGTAGAATACAACAGAGTGAACCTTCTAGTTAAATTATAAAGTCTAAAGTATCTATCCCACTGATGCCCAGATGTCTCAGAGAAAGATGTATTTACTTGTGTGAGTTTTCTCTGCAACAAGAGGTATTCTGACCATATCTTCCAGCATTGCTCTTCCCATTCTTGGATCTGATGCAGATTCCTATGGAAGACATGGGTGCAAGGGATTTACATCAGGAAGGCTCCTGGGCTTTCTTAGGATCCAAGACTAAAGCGGGGAGAGATAGAAGAAATCCTGATAGGTAGATTTCTAAGGGTTGGAGAGCTGAGGGCAGGATTGGAGAGCGTTCCTTTAGGAGCATACAAGAGATACTAACAAGGCAGAAACTTAATGACTTTTTCCCCCCTTTGGAAACAAGGTCTCCACATGTAGTTGAGGATATCCTCAAACTTTGGTCCTTCAGTTTCTATCACCCAAGTTCTAGGATAAAGGAGTGTGTTACCCCATCCATTTTAATTGCTTGATTATTCTATTGTACAATCTGTAAAGACATCTTAGCATAAACAGAATAAATCCCCCTCTGATAGTCTGAGTAAATGAGGTTGGTCTTACCAACTTAGAAAGGTTTGAAGAAGACAGATAGGAAAAGCAAGAGCCAGATGACCATTCTGAAATTAATTTTAAGTTGAGGACTCACAGAGGACAATAGAATAATGCATATTTGATTAATTTAAATCCTAATGACATGTATCAATGTATTTTGTCTGTTGGGTTGAATTTCTGGTAGGGAACTGAGTCCTTGGTTCATTGTAGAGTTACATTTGAGACCCTTTCATTGTGGGAGAAACACTGAATGCTAGGTCCCTTTAACTTTTCAGTGAAGCAAGGAGACAGCTTCAGTTTCTGAACTGGACCCAGGGAGGTAAGCTGACTCCATTCCTCTGTAAGCTAGCTGAACACAGTGACTGTCTCTCAATTCTTCCCAAGCGAGCATGTAAGGGAGTGAGTGGACACAGGCTGGCCTGCAGACATCCTGACGTGGTCACACACAGAAGCCTGGACATGGACAAAGAAAACAGTGATGCTTCCTGCAAATCCTCAGACCTGAAAGTAAGTGCAACTCGGGAAGCTCCCCCATGCACTGTTACCCTTTTAGTGAAATGGGTTCACGTGGCTGTAAAAATGAAGAGGAAAAAATAAATACTTAATTTCTACAGTACTTAGTGGATTTTGTGAATGTGAGTTTGTTTTGAAAGACTGTAGTTGGCAATTGATTAGTACCTGTTTTTAGAAAACACCAAGGAAATTGTACTGATCTCTATGTAAATTCCACTTTAAACTTTAATCAGTAGTGCTAACTGAGCCCGCCTATAATGTGTTCTGGTACTTAAAGATCCAGCTTGAGCCTTGATATTCTACATGTGCTGACATTTCTATTCATTTCCTTTTCTCTTTTGGAGCTATGCTATGCATACAAGTAGCTTGACACCTCACTTAACTAATTCTTCCCAAAAGAAAAAACTCAGTCCTTCAAGAAACCATATTAAATGAAGTCTGTCTAGTTTGGTTTCACCATGGAAGATACAAGCAGCATTTCATTCCAAGGGTTGACAAGGATGTTTGGCAAAAAGAATGAGGGCATCATGAATAATTCAAAGTGTACTTGGCCCCATGTTATCCCATTAATTGGCAGGATTAAAGACTGGAAGACATTACACTTTGAAGGAAAGAGCAAGGAAGAGGGTGAGAGGATGAGAAAATTATAGAAGAGCTATTGGGAGGTTACTTCATTTTTTTTTACCTGAATCACTCCCTTTAAAAGAATGTGTGTTTAAAAGTTATTTCATCATTGGAGTTTAGTTACCCTGACATGTATAAATCTCTTTGTCTAAGAAGCTAAACTCTCATATGCATTATTAAAAGATTCACAGCATCAGATGACAGAAGATAGAGGAGGAAATAAAAGAGGGGGAGGGGAAGCAGGTAAATAATGTATTTTTCCTCCATTTAAGCAATAGAATGCACACAAACCAGCAATTTTACCAGCCAATGAGTCATTACTTCATGCCTTGCTTTAGTTTAAAATTATTCTTTTATTTATGATCAAGAAACTGAGTCACCAATCAGTTTAGTGGCTGTCAGTGGCAAAACAGATGTGTTGGCGTCCCATCCTCCAGACCTGCACAAATCACCACACCTCTTCAAGTTTTCTCGCTAACCTGGCAGTCAGAAAGACATAATGAGGAAATCAACATATTTCTGTGAGAAACTCACTTGGATTCTTATTTCCAATCTTGTCACCAGGTAGAAATAATAAGAGTGCAAGATAAAAGCAGAATAATAACAAGCATTTGAAAGCCATCAAAACATCTGAGCATGAAAATATGTTCATGGAATCCCAACACCCAGGATATAGGCAGGAGAATTGTGAATTCAAGGGCACTTTGAGCTACATTGTAAGATCTTGTCTCGTAAAACAAATGTTCCCAAACCCAATCCCTTCTGAAACTCAAATTAAAAACAAACACCCCAAAGAAATCACAAAAAAGGCTGTGTCAACCCAGGCATTGGGACACCACAGGCCTTTCCTCATTTCCCAACCTTTAAGTCCCTTTGTCTGCTTGGCTCCTTGGAGTCAGGCCTCTGCTCCTCTGCTTCATTCAGTGGGATGGCAGAGAATCAAGCAAATGAACTCTATGGTCCACACAACGTCTGGTTTCTTCTTTTCTTTTTGCATAAAGAAAGCCCACGAGGTGAACATTTGTGCAGTCAGCAGGTAACTCTCAGGAATTCTTCTCTCTTGCCTTTGTGGGTTTAGGGCAGTGGTTCTCAGCCTGTGGGTTGTGATCTTTTGGAGGCCAGCGACCCTTTCAGAGGAGTTGCCTAAGACCATTAGAAAATGCATATATTTATTATGATCCATAACAGTGGCAAAATTACAGTTATGAAGTGACAATGAAAATAACTTTATGGTTGGGGGCGGGGTTTACCCCAACACGAGGGACTGAATTAAAGGGTCGTAGCATTAAGAAAATTGAGGACCACTGGTTTAGAGGAATCTAACTCGGGTTTGGCAGCAGGCACCTTTACTCACTGAGCTTATTCGCCTGCCCTAATGTCTAGATTTTCTGAGCTCCATTTGTAACTGACTGAAAACCGTTAGTGCACTCACAGGGACTTGACTGATAAGCCTTTTTGCACCAATGTCTCCCGCATGAGTCTCTCCACTTACGCTTGAGATGACCTCTAATCGATACTTTGTCTTTTCTTTGAAAGATATCCAACATCTCCATTCAGGTGATCAGTGTCCCGGGGAAGCTACCAGGGAGAAGACTGCCTCGAAAACCCATTGGCAAAGCCAGGTCCCGCAAGCAGCCCAAGAAGAGAGTACCCCTTTGGAACGTTCAAAATAAGATCATTCTCTTCACTGTGTTTTTATTCATCCTGGCCGTCACAGCCTGGACGCTTCTGTGGCTCTATATCAGTAAGTTACAGTTTATGTTCCTTTGGGCGCAGGGTGAGTCCTGCCGCAATCTGCAGCCTTAGCGCATCTTTGGGGAAAGAGGTAGAATGATCGTCTTTCCCAGACAGACACACTGCTTCCAAGAATGGAACTGAGACTCTAAGGGGAAAGCCACCAGAACTGTCCACCACTGCTTCATCACCGTCCCTTCCTTCCCATAGGTGGACAAAGGGGGAGGGATGAGGGATGCGAAGGAGCTGTTGAGGATGCCCAAGGGAAGTCGACTCATTCATAAGTGTGATGCATTAGTAGCTTTTAAAAAATGAATGGAATCCCCCCCCCAAAAAAAATCCGGGAGGTGGTGGCGCACGCCTTTTATCCCAGCACTTGGGAGGCAGAGGTAGGCGGATCTCTGTGAGTTCGAGGCCAGCCTGGTCTACAGCGTGAGTTCCAGGACATCCTCTAAAGCCACAGAGAAACCCTGTATCTAACCACCCCCGCCCCCCAAATTGAATGGAACATTCAGCTGTTTCATTTCCTTATTCTACCCACAGCCTGTTACTAGGCAACCTTAAATTTCCAGCTCTCTGAGCCCCCTTTCATATAAACATCTTTGTCTCCCAATTTTGTTTTTGCCCCCGTAACTATGCTTTTGTCAATCTGATTGATCCTTTGGGACAGATGTGACAACTAGGCTCTTTCTTATGGAGTACTTACTAATTCATTCTGCTAACTATAGCATTGGTTGACTTGCATTGACATTCCCATTGTGTGTAATACATTTGATATGAAGTACACTTAATAGCGTATAAGTGCAATATATGCCTGTGGGCTCCTCCCTGGTTTCTAACACGGAGTCCCTGACGTTCTTGACTTCCTAAATGATAGCAGGTGGGAGTGCCTGTTGTTATTTCATCACAGTCTAGTTCCTGGTTGCTAATAGAGGACTTCTAAGAATATTGCTTTTTTTTTGGTTTGGTTTTCTAGTATTGGTACTATGTTTGGTACCTGCCACAAAGACAGAGGAGCCATGCCATTGCCAGGCTGTATCCTCTTTTTTTCAATAACGTCAATTCTAGACATTATCGAAGAAAAGAGGAGAAAAACTAGAGCTTAATTTAATCATCAGTGGTTAATGAGTTAATCAATCATGCCTTCGTAATAGGACATCCATAAAAATACCCACATATCAGGTTCCAATCATTCCTGAGTTGGCAAATTTGGTGCGAGGTGCTGAGTTCTAGTCCCGCAGGGATAGCAGCTTCTTGACTCAAGCTTGCTTAGGCTTCACCATGATGAAGTGGTTTGCCTAATGGTTCATTTGTGTTCTTTATAAAATCATATGTAATAAGCCATAAACAATGAGTAAATAACAACAAAATGTCTTAACTATTAGAACAAATGATCACAGCTGAGGGGGTTTTGGGAACCCCTGATTTGTAGAAGCAACATGGATTGCTTAGGGGGTACACTACTTGTAGTTGGCATCTGAGGTCAGGACATTATTACAGGAATGAGGCAATAACTGTGTAGTCAGTGTAAGTTACACAGAATCACTGGAGACCCATTGCTATCTGCAGAGGAAGAGTTGCTTGATATAGAGACAAATCCTACATGTTTGGTGTCAGAAATGTTATGAGTTGAGAAGCAGTTTGCCTTTATCTGTTGTCAAGGATATTAAAATTTGATTGTAAGGCAAGAGAATTCTAGGTAAAGAATTCATGAATGTTCTTGAGCAGTTTAGGTCACTTGCTTATCCTTATAAATCCTCAATAATTTGGCATAATTCAAATACTCATGCAATCTTCAGAATGATTACTGATGCATTTTCTACTTTTGAAAAGCCCACAAATTGGTACTCAAGGAAGGATGTGGGTTATGTTTTCATCTGGAAGTAATTCTTTTGTAATTATTGGAGAGGGGCACCCAATGGGTCTAGAGATGGAATTGAGAGAGGCTTTCAGAACGGTCTCCTGAAAGCTCATTGGATACACTGTGGGAGTGCAAAGGTGAGTTGACCTCTGTAATAGGGATGGGACAGCCTCGTAAGCCAGATACCATTTCTGAGTCCAAGGAAATTATACACTGACACAGCAAGTTAAGGCAATGGGCAATGAAGACAAAACACTTCATATGAACACAGAGCATTTATAACCCATAGTTTCCTGGCACTCCAATTGGCATGTTTGCAATACCCTATAATGAAAGTTTTAGAAAAACATTATACAGAAGTAGTTTATTTGTATAAAATACAGAGAAGGTCACTTAATGGGAAACAAAAGAAAACAAGGCTGTCCTTGTGATATTATCTTGACAAATCAATAGATGGGAATATTGCTCAGTGACAATCACTTGACTCCATGTACATGGCCCTGAGTTTGATTGCCAGCATTGCAGTAAATGCATGAATGAATAAATAGATAGTTTTCAAAAAAAATCCATAGGGAGCTGCAGAAGAGGAGAGAGACCTTAGAAACGAAGAGGAGACTAGTCTGGTGCTGAAGTGTTTGCCTAGCATTTGTTCAATCCCTAATATTGTGATGGGGAGCAAGAGGACTAGACTCCAGTTCCCCCAACCACTTCCTCTTTGTCATGGACTCTGAGTCCATACAGATACGGCCAGACTTGGCTCCATCCATCTGTCAGCAAAGTTCATGCCAAGAAACCTAGTCTTACAGTTCCCAGAGCAGACTTGAGTAGGAGTGATCCCACGTGAGGCGAAGGTCATTCTGGTAAGGATAAGTAAGTGCTCCATATGTTGGGCAGAGCAAAAGCATGGCCTCACTATTGCCTGCTAGGCACACATGTCAGCCAGGAGCTCAGTGGAAGCTCCCAGGAGTACGGGGATTTATTCTTTCTTTCCCCCATCAGGCTGACGGTACCCCAGCTGTGACAGTGAGGTCTTACCACCTTACAGCTGACAGACAAGGAACTCACGAAAACTGTGTATGTTCTTAACTCTCTAGAGACACTAGAACAAAGTTCAAGAAGTCTAGCTTTTACCTTCAACCCTTATTTTTAAGTATTTACCAGTAGCAGACAGGAAGAGTAGAGTGTGTCGAGAGCTACAATGAGGGAAGAGATGACACTAAGTCTATTTTGACTTTCACAGGTTATGATGCACTGAAGTATGTATGCCTACGATGAGATCATTTAAGAGACTCCTGCCAACATGCATCAGGCATTGCCCAGCTGCCACAATCCCCGCATTGCTTTCTCTCTTGTTTTGCAGGTAAGACAGAGAGCAGAGACGCCTTTTATTTCGTTGGGATGTTCCGCATCACCAACACTGAGTTTCTTCCTGAGTACCGGCAGAAGGAGTCCAGAGAATTTCTCTCCATGGCCAAGACCGTACAGCAAGTGGTGAGGCTGGGGGTGTGGGAGCAGGGGGGTGGAGCCTGCAGGAGCAGGGGTGGGGCATGGGCGGGCCTTCCTAAGTGTCCTAGCTCATGGAGTTGAGGAAATAGAGCAGGGAACAAAAAGGAAGCTGCTGGAGGTATTGAGTTCACCTGGGCTTTAAAATAGATGTTCATTTCTGCCCTCCATTTAGTCCATGTTCACTGTAAGATACAGTCACAGTCTTCCTATTCATAATGGCAAAAGGAGACAGCTCTTTCAACTTCTGCTTTTGTCCAGTGTAAAGTAGAGAATATCATGTGATCTTTAAAACATCCTCCGGTTCTGAAGTGCTAACATACTGATTAATTTTGTGTTTTTTCTACATATTTATTCCAGCCTTACAGTGGCCGTCTCTTCACTAAACAACAACAACAAAACAAAAATAAAAAACAAAACCAAAAAACTGTCCTTTTCATCCAAATAATAAATAATCTAAAACTTAGTAAAATTCAGAAAAGTATACTTGAAAAAAGATCATCAGTTTTTCTTTTTATTTAAATTAGAAGCAATCTTATTTACATGTCAATCCCAGTTCCCTCTCCCTCTCATCCTCCCATGCCCCCCACCGACACCCCCATCCGATCCCCCATCCACTCCCCAGAGAGAGATCACCAGTTCTTCAATGTCGTTTTCAGAGACAGAGCCCTGATTCTGGCCTGCCAGGACACGAGAGCACTGTGATATTGGAGTATTAGCAGTTATTCTTATGGTGTGTTATTTTTCCCTTAACGTTGCATCTCATGATGCTGATGCAAGCAAATATTCTTTTAAAAGCAAGTGTTAGAGCCGGGCGTTGGTGGCGCACGCCTTTAATCCCGGCACTTGGGAGGCAGAGGCAGGCAGATCTCTGTGAGTTCGAGGCTAGCCTGGTCTACAAGAGCTAGTTCCAGGACAGCCTGAAAAGCTGAAAAGCAATACAAAGAAACGCTGTCTCAAAAAACCAAAAAAAAAAAAAAAAAAAGAAAGTGTTAATAGTCTCAAAGTTAACAAATTCCCTCTTAATGGATGTCTAATCTGATCCCCAGGTGTTTTTTTAAACATCATACATAATACAAAATCAAAAGTGCCATGAATTATGCATATTTCTGATTACTTCCCTTGATGATTCCCTAAAAGCATCTAGAAGAAAGAAGTCCATACAAGGTTCCTGGAACAGAGAGAGCATAGGAAGGTTTCTGCTAATTTGGACTTCGGCAGCAATGCAGAGGGGCTTCAGGGCCCTCGATGTAGTGAGAAATGAGGAAGGACTTTTCGAGTGTCAGCAGTGGTCAGATGGGGTCATACTGATGGTCAGTAGCTGCAACAGTGAAGCCTTCGCCTCAGATATAGATGCACCAATTACGCCTCAAAGTATGCCTGCTAGGGAGGTAGGGTGAAACCAAACCAATGTAGCCCAGCAGGTTTAGGCATTTTTTTTTGTTGTTGTTCTGCAGGGTTATTTTAATCTTCATATTCTTTTCTGCAATATTATAGACTTTTTAAGGTTTGGATAAGTAGATGTGTGCTTTTTGTTTGGAACTGGAATAGAGACTGAGTTTAGCATTAGGAGAGCTAATTAAGGACAAAGAAGGTGTACTGATTGAAAAAGGTCTTCTTTGAGAACCGATTATGTAGTTTTGAAGCAGCTGGCCTGGTACAGTTGGCCTGACCATGGTCACCATGCGCCGCCTTGTGGCTAATCCTGGAATTTGTCAGAAACAGGCAATAGAATACATTTGTTAACTATGGAGGAAATTAATATTAGGAATGGGAAGAACTCAGAAGTTAAATTTGATGAAAGATTTTAAAGACAGAAACAAATGGGTAAGAGTAACTGACGATTCTTCACAGCAGAATAAAAGTGTGGTAAGAATTGCTTCAGAAATAAGGACTTCATTAAATTCAGGAGCTAATGTCTGGGTTTGGAGTTAGAAGCCTTTGGTTTGAGGCCTGCTTTCCCCACTACTAGCTGTTGGAATGTTCCCCTGAGGAAACAGAGTTAGAAAAAATTAAGATGATTCAATCTCTTTATTTTCAGGTAAACCTCGTGTACACAACATCTGCTTTCTCCAAATTTTATAAGCAGTCTGTGGTTACAGATGTCAGGTAACACCTGTCCCTTGTTCTGGGATTCTTACTATCCTTGCTATATACGTGTTTATGGCCCTGTAAGGACAAATATTGCCCCACTCAGATACAATTCATTGCTGGTGAACACCCATTAGGAAAACTAGTGACCCAACTGTGTGCCAGGCTGTCACACCAAGTCTGCTTTTATCTACCAAGTCTGCTTTCCTCCACCCCGATGGAATCCCAATTTCAGTATCTCTGGAGAAAATGGTCACACACGTGACCGCCATGGTGGGAGGATGATGGAGGAAGAAGAAGATACAAACCACCACTTTCCAAAGTATGTCCAGTGACAAACTGGATACTAGAGACTGTCTGAGAGACACTAGAGACTATCTGAAGGAAAAAAGAGTCATGGCAGAATGACAAAAGTTTAGTAAAACTGTGCTCCATATACAATAATCACATTTCTCTTACCCTTCATATAGCTGCAGAGACTCATGACCCCAAGAACATAGGAAAGGTACGGAGAAGCCTGCGAGGGAATCAACTGATTTTCCTAAGTTCCATTTCCAAAGTTATTTACTACAGAGCACCATCATATGTGTCTACCATAAAGCATGTAATATTTGCACAACCAGGGGTGCAGAGTCCATGGTCAGTATCAAAAGAAAACTGGACTTTGCTCCTAGCTCCACTGCATATTAGCTGTGTGATTTTGAACTACATTTGTCCTCAATTTTCCCATCTGCAGAAATGAAATATTAGCAGGATAATTGGACAAAACAGATGTACAACTGTATGGAGACATGTTGAGACACAGAACTAAATTGTCATTATTATCAGCGGACAGAACTAATGGTGGATAGCATTAAGAGAATCTTGGTGGAGATGGAGCTATTCCGTAAAGCTTCCAGATTTGAATCCAGCACAGTGATTAGAACAGACATTCAACACAGTGATTAGGGCGCACATCCATCACAATGATTAGAACACATGTAGCATAGCCTCTCTCTTTCCAATCTTTATAGCAGAACACATGACAGCCTACAGAAGGGTGTTAAGTTCATTTGAAGGGTGTTCTCAGTGGCCTTGAATCTGTCTGTTTCTATCTTCTTGGGAATGTCTACATCCTAATATACATCCTTGAACACTTCTCTCTCTCTTTTTCACTACAGTAGTAACAACAAAGGTGGGCTCCTGGTCCACTTTTGGATTGTGTTTGTCATGCCACATGCCAAGGGCCACATCTTTTGTGAAGAGTGTGTGGCAGCCATCTTGAAGGACTCCATCCAAACCAGCATCATAAACCGCACCTCTGTGGGGAACTTGCAGGGTCTGGCTGTGGATATGGACTCTGTGGTACTAAATGGTGATTGTTGGGTAATTCTCCTTTAAGCATTCCTTCCAATATCACTTCCAATACCATCACCAGAGGTAACATTGTAGGATAGTCTTCCACAATCCCAGGAGCAGAGGACTAGCTGGACGTTGCAGCTGTGGTTGGTGAGGGAAATTCTTAAATGTTACACATAGTATGATTGAAACGTAGATTTGTGAACAGAATTATATTTATTCAAGTGTGTTCCTTCATGTGTCGATCACCTTCAGACTAAAGTTCCTAAAGAATAAAGTTCTAGAATAGAATTTTTTTTTACTGAGGTTTGTCTTATCTTTTCCTTTGTCCCATTTTATGAGTGTTGTGGCTGGGGACTGAAAGTTTAGTTTGGTCCCTGATGAAGAGGGAAAATTAGAAAGGAGGCTTTCCTAGGCCAAGGGGAGAGAAGAAAGGTCACGTGAGTGCTCAGTGACAGGAAAGCGCTGCCTGGCGTGAACAGATGAGGCGAGCTCACAGGGAGGGAAAGGAGAACTGGCTGTCCCGAGTCTTTATTAAAACTCCATTTCAAATCCGAATGTGTCTGTCCACACCATGGCACATGTGTGCAGGTCAAAGGTCAACTTTCAGAAGCTGACCCTCTCCTGTCTGTGAAGATCAAGTTCAGGCCACCAGCATTGGCATCAAGGGCCTTCACCTGCTAAGTCATTTTTGCTGGCTCCTGAGTTGTTTGTTGAGACTTTTGAGGTCAAGGTGCGGTCAGGGTGACACAGACTTTTGTGTGTAAGAATGAGCCCACGAGTGTGAAAACCAGACTGCATCTTTTGAGGCTTTTGCACATCCGTACTTAGTGTGGGAAACACTGCCGTAAAAGTTGCATGATATGCACATCTGTGCCATGCTCGAGTGAACGTGCCAGATGCCCACTTTATGCCCATGCAGGTCTGGTACCCTTTGTGGGAGGTCATGGCGCAGTAACTTGTAGCAGAACACAGATGTGGCCTAAGAATTTAGATGTGTGTTTGGACAGGATGAAAATAACTAACCATAATTCATTATCTTCTTTGCCATGTTGAGCCAAAGAGAAAAATACATAAATTCATTGCATTGCCACCATTTTATCTTTAAAAAAAACTTTGTGGTCATTTAGAAGCTGGCTAGACATTTCCTACTATCTCATGGAAGGCCAGCACTTGAAATCTGACCCCCTCAGTCCTATTCCCTAATGACTTGCCTACACCAATGCTCCCAATCAGACTGTGTGCCTCAGCCCCATGGAAACACAATGACACCATTTGTCTTGACAGCGAAACATTGTATTACTCAAAATTTCTGCAGCTTTGTCTTTTGATATAAATTTTGCATGCAAACATACCAATCACACATACTAGACATACAGTAGACAGCTGATAACTGGTTTGAACAAATGAAAAATCTCTAGTGGAAAATTTCAGTCATAAGATGATTATTATTTATATAGGTGTTTGCTTACTCTCGAATTACTTAAAATTGGTAACTATGAATGCTTGGAAGCAGCTAAAATATGACAAATTCTCACTTATCCTTAGCTTCAGGGCTTGTCATCTCCTAGTGGTGCTATTTTTCTTTAAATACCTCAATAACTCTACTCTTCACTGGACTACAGTGAAGTATGACTCATGTCAGATGTATTTGATTATTTCATTAATTTATTTATTTGGTTTTTCTAGGCAGGGTTTCTCTGTGGCTTTGGAGAGTTTGATTATTTTAAAGAAGGACTGAGAACAAATTTTCCAAACAAATCACCCTCTGGAACTAATGGTGTTCTTTCTATCCTGTCTCAATGCAGCTGGGCTCCGGTCAGACTACTCTTCAACAATAGGATCTGGTAAATTCATGAATTTCTTCTTTACCCCTCACTAGTGTGCATATATACTGGCTACACTTTGCTTTTTCTGATGATGTGATCCATTAATCTTCTTTTAGATGCAAGTGACAGCAATATAAGTGGCTTCAGCACAAAAGGGACCTGGTTGGCTGGTGTATTCCATAGCTGAGACAAATATGGGATATGTTGGCTTTAGGCATGGTTGGAACAAGCTCTAAAATGAAAGGCTGGTCAGACTCTATAGCTCCACCTTCTGTCGAGGCTTTGCTCTCAGGCATAGCCTCCCTTGTGGTAGCAAAGCTTAGGCTGGGTCATGTTTCTCAGTCATAGTGGAAAACTCCTGTACACAGATTTCATTAAAATCTCGTAGAACTTCGTAGCTGAATCACATTGTATGGATTGGCAGATGTGGCCCTTCCTGAACCAGCTTCTTTGACTGGTCAGTCTGGTTATGTTTCCACTTATGGGATCAGAGGTGAATTTAACCCCAACAAAAGTATGGGCTAAGTAGGACAATTTTCCATGGTAATAGGTTCTGTCACCAAAAGAGAGATACATAAAGTCTAGACTGGCAAGGAAAACAAATGTTCTCCATATGACAGTTTCTGCTCTTTTGTAGAGATTTCTAGAGAGGTCATGCTTAAGAGCCAGGAGGAGGGTGGGAGAAAAGAGAGGGACAGAGAGGCGAAGAGGGGACAAGACTAAGGAAAGTCCTTTCTCCACAGACAAAGGCTGCTCCAACTACTTCTATGCAGATCATCTGACCCTCCGCTACCCTCTGGAAATTTCTGCAACCTCAGGACAGCTAATGTGCCACTTTAAGCTAGTGGCCACAGTGGGTTATCTAATTCGTCTCTCAATTGAGTCCATCCAGTTGGAAGCTGACAACTGCATCACTGATTCCTTGACTGTTTATGACTCCCTCTTGCCAATCCGGAGTGCTACCCTGTATAGGTAAGACACAGGCTCAATATCTACCTGTGAAAAAGGTTTTCTTACTCTCTATTTACAAATCTCTCAGTGATAGATAGCTTCTTCGAGATATCCTTCGAGACACGTGGAGCTATTATCTCATTTTAAACCTCATTGCAGAGCAATGGGGCAACATTGTTACAAGTGTTACTATTTTGTGGAAAGAACTCTGGAATTTACATAAATTTAATTGCTTGGCTGCTGAGAGTCTTTCAACTAGTTGATCCCTGGAGCCAAGCCGTTGCACAATCATCTTTATATCCTGTTTGCTCTCAAGGAGAGCCCAAGGTTGGCCATCTGAGAAAATCCCTTGGTAGGCATTACTAGACAAATACTTAGGCATCTCTTCCAGATCTATTCTATGTATAGAGCTCTACGACTAGTCACTGATGAAGATCTAACCAACAGAGACTGGCTTAAAAGAACTGAGTGATGACTCTGGAAATGTGTGACATGGTATAGTATGAAGACCCATTGATTAAACAAGCAGTTACTCATATGTTGTTATCTGGTTGCAGAATCTGTGAACCCACAAGAACACTAATGTCGTTTGTTTCTACAAATAATCTCATGTTGGTGACACTGAAGTCTCCTTATGTACGGAGGCTGTCAGGGATCCGGGCATATTTTGAAGTCATTCCAGAACAAAGTAAGTCTTCTCCAATTTAAACAAGTCACTTGCAATACTCCTGAAGATACTGTAATCTTTCTATCCCGAGGCTATCTTGTGATATTTTCATGCCAGTCAAGGAAGCTGTACTGGACACGAACCCTGACTCAGAAGAAAAGCATCATAGAAATTTAGTAAAGAACTGTTAGCATAAAAATGTTGATTAGATAACGCAAAGGGGCAAAGGGGAAATTGAAAGTATTTTTAGAAGATCAAAGAGAAAATTAGAACTAATGATAGTGAGCTTGGAGGAAGGTGTCTGTTGCTGAAGCTCTGGCCAACAACAGGTGCCATTACTTACCTGCTTCTGGTGTGTCTCTGAATCCAGGACCATGCGGTAACAAAGTAGTCACATCCTGCAGGTATGGAGCAAAAGGGAGGATTGGGAAACAAATATAGAATGTGAGAAAAACATGTTAGTTGTATAAACTGATGACATGACCACCCTGTGGTCTGGTTAAAGGGAAGTTATTATTATTATTATTATTATTATTATTGTATACACACACACATATATATATGTATATACATATATATGTATATACATATATATCAGCCAGAGGCATCTGGAAGAGTTCAGAGCAGAGAAAGGAAGCAACAGATGGCCAGCAGACTGGATCTGGTCATGACAGAGGCAGGATCAGAGTAGGGAGATTGAGAAAGAGAAGGAGGATCAGAGAGAGAGAGAGAGAGAGAGAGAGAGAGAGAGAGAGAGAGAGATAGAGAGAGAGAGAGAGAGAGAGAGAGAGAGAGAGAGAATGAAAGGGAGACAGAGAAATAGGTTACAAGGCGGAATAAATAGCAAGAGGAAGGGAAACCAGTGAGTTGGAGGGTGAGCTCAGGGTATTGGGGGAGGTGTGAAGAGCTAGGATGATAGCATTCCTCTGAAATGTGTAACAGGTACTTATGATACTGAGGGAGCCTGCAGGCCAGCACCAGTCTTGGTGTGCTAACAGGAACCACCAATAGCCATTTGTCCCTGTGCTAGTGATAAGGGACATATCTTCTTTTGATAGAAGCTAACAGGCTTCACAAGTTCCTGAGGAATGCTGACTTTTATTTATCCTCCAGAGGTCCTCCTCTAGTCAGGCTGCTTCCACTTCTGGCTATCTGGAGTACATTTTGGAGTTTTGAGAACTGGAGTTTCCTTTAGTTATCTATGGAGTGTTCTTTGTTTGAAGAGATAAAGATCTGAAATTATACCAGTTCATTAGTCAAGTAAATATGCATGTGTAGAGAAAGCGTGCAGCCATGTCCTCATCTCATCATGCTGGGTCCTTGTGTGTGAATCCCTTCTTTCAGAATGTGAAAACACGATATTGGTCAAGGACATCAACAGCTTCGAAGGGAAAATTTCAAGTCCGTATTACCCAAGCTACTATCCTCCAAAGTGCAAGTGCACCTGGAAATTTCAGGTAGCCTAGATCTTCTCAGTGTGGGGTGGTTGTTCTATTTTAGTAAAATATATTTGAATCATTTTGTCTTTAAAATTCTAAGACTAATACCACTTAATGTTAGGAGATATATTATAATATATCTCTTTCCAGATAATATATTTCCATTGTTATTTTCTTCTGCTGTCAAGCTACCTACTACTATCACTTGGTTTGGTCTTATTTCTCCACATTATTTTATTTTTATTTATATTTTAAAATCTAAAGGTATTGTTGCAGGATCAAATAGTTATTTTATTACAGATAGTATGATTTCAGAATAGACATTAATAAAATAATAAATTTGATTAGGTTATTTATATTCCTACTATAATAGCACATGGAACTGGAAAATGTCACTATTACTCACTTCTTAGTGCATATGCATAAAATCGTTAGTGTGTAGCGTCATAACTGGATTGGATGCAAATGATAAATACATACAGTTTAAATTCATCAATATGCCACTGAATGATAACTGTGGGCCTGGAAGTCAAGTACTAAAATAGACAGAAAATCTGAAATTGAAAATCAAATAAAGTTTTGGCTTTCAAGGAATGTATCTTTCAGTAGGGGGAGACTGGTGACAGTCTCACATGCTACATATACAATGAGCCCTCCCTATTTGTGGGTTTCACATCTATGGATTCAGTTAATGACTCCATTGAGTATATACCTGTAGACACTATTATTGATATTATTTCCTAAACAATAGGGTAGACACGCATTTTACAAAATTATTGCACAAGACAAGCTATTATGAACAATATTGATATTTAGAGTATGTGAGAAGATATGTGTGGCTTATAGAGATACTATGCATTTTATGTAAGGTACTTGAGTGTTCATAGATTTCGAGATATGGGGCCTCCATAAACCAATCCTCCGAAGATACTGAGGGACCACTGTAGGCAGTTTGTCACATGGTGACAGTACTACAGGGGAAAATGAAGAAGTCAAGGAGGTGCAATAGCTTGGGAGGGAAGCTGGGAATGTGAAGAGAAGAAAGTCAAGGCATTGTTAATAGGAGATCAGAGAAGCCTCATTGCCAAGAGGAACATTTGCAGAGAAGCTGAGAGAAAAAGGGACCGTCTTACTGATGTTTAGGATAGGAGTGCTGCAGTCAAGGGAACAGCTAAGAGGGGGATCCTGAGGCAGGAGGAAATTTGACGGTGATCATTTGTACATAGTTATACAAATTGATTTTACTTTTAAGCAAATCTGATGATTAATTCTACGTCTTGGTGACAAGTATCCTAAAGTTATTTGTTATCACTAGTATGGCCATCTACAAATAAGTAGCTAGATCCTTGCACTTTGCCAGATTTTCAGGATTTAGTATCTCAGGTGACCAGAGGGTTGGGTAGCTAAGAGGGTAAGAGAAAATAGAAGCACCAAAATAAAGAGAAGGGGACAATACCATTTTCTCCTTCTTCAATCCCTCCAAAACACAGATGAATCTTCTTGAATTCATTCAACATCCAGAATAAGAAATTCATCTTTCCCTAAAAGTCTGCCAATGCTAGAAATGTCTTTGATGTAAGACAAATATTGATTCTATAATACTCTAGGGACTTAAAATGAAAGCCCATAAACACTGTTGTGATTTTTAGTCTGAATGTAATAAGAATATTGACTTCCTTTGTATTTTGCCAGAGGTTGAGGGTTGAAGAAAAAAATCTTTGTAAGGGAAAGAGCATATCATACCTGTAAGGGAGTGAGGGATTGAGGAAGGGACATAGAAGGGACGTGAGACAAGGCCCACTAGTCTTTAGTAGGGTTACTGTAAGCCATGGAAGCCCCTCTCCATATCACAGAGGAAAATGATGGGTGACTTGGAAGGGAGTCACTTGCTCCCTGTCTCTTTGAAGAAAATATGCAAGCACTGTTGCCATAGAAATTTCCAATGCTTATTTGAGATAATTTCCTATTCTATATGAGTGCCTCATATGAGTTTACAATAAGCATGACATACTGGGCAGAAAGTGGATAAAGTAAAATATTAGGTTAGATCTCCGGTCTGCATTTCCTAACCTCCAGAAAGTTAGCTATGCCTTTTTTCTTCTATAAAATGGGAATAGTATTACTGGCCTACAAGGTTTATTATGGTGTTAAAATGAGAACTGTAAAATGTCTGATTTAGTCTCTCTCAAAGGTAGTAGTAAGGGATGATTATCTCTATTTACATTAGAAAGAAGCAACTGTATGTATATATATATATATATATCATGTACTTAGAACATACTCAAAAAATGCATAACCAAAATAAAATATCTGTTAGAACAATATGTCATGGATAAAATCAATCTAAAGAAAAATATAATAGGATGGAATTATAAAGTTGTTTCTACAACTTTTAAAAGTTTTTTATTTATTTTTTCATCAATCTCATGCACAAGATCTTCATCTGTATCACTCTGTTCCTCTCTCTCCACTGCGGTTCCTCCTCTGGGTTCTCCTGGCCCCATCCAGATTCATGATATTTTCTTTTTTATTGTTATATGTGTATCCAGTTACTGAGCTCATTTAGTGTTGCTCATACATATGTATGAGGCTAATCCAGGGCTAATCATTTTGAACTGGACAGTCTGTGCAGGCGCTCCTCTATGGAAGGAACATTAGCTACTGATCCCTTATAGCTCTTTATCGAGAGACAGGACCATGTGAGATTTTCATTGTCCATAACAGCATTGTCATTATGCTGGCTTGTTGTTCAGGAAACCATATGTTGATATTTTGTGAGTACATAGTGTAATTTTAGGGGTTACTATCTAGTAGCAATCATACTTGGCCTCTTACTCATAATCCTTTCACCACCCTTCAGCAGTTTTCCTTGAGCCTTGGGGGTGGGGACTGTATTGCAGGCCTATCAGTTTCATCTGGGCACTGCACCCTGTGCATTTTGACCACTTGTACTATGTTACAGTCTTCATCTTTACAGTAAGAAGCTTATTTGATGAGGAATGAGAGCCACACTCATCTGTAAGAGTAAGTATTTAGAACACAGTTAGAAATTATATTGATGTAGGAAAATGGCGGCAGTAGAGTCTCCCGTAGGGCCTATGACCTCACCAGTTACAAGTAGTTTTCTAGGTCTTCAGTATCAGGCATGGTTTCCCTGCTATCCATCAGGCCTTCTGTCAAATTAGGTAGCTGTTGGTTGCCTCAAAGATAAACATACCACTATTGCACCAAGTCATTTTTGTGGTTCATAGTCTTTATACCTGGGTAGAACTACTGACTGCTTCTCTCTCTTGGCAACATGCTTAGAACTTCCCAAAAGTTCTCAGGGAGGAGCCTTCCAAGTCAGTTCCAGCTCAATTCCTCTAAGCTCTGTGTCTGATGAATGTGTTTTCATCAATAATAGGGTCTTAGTTCTGAAAGGGAACCAAGGTCAATGGAAACAGCCCATATTGTTTGGGGAGACTGGTATTCCTCTGACTAACAACTACAAGGAAGTTTTCCATGCCTAGCACTGGAGTTTTTGTTATATAGTGCATGGCTCTTGGGAGGAGCATTGTCATCCCATGTAACATAACCCATTTACATACATAAACACAACACATATATATACATAAAATACATATATATTTTTGGACACATATCTGTATTTTTGAGTGAACTTATAAAATGTTTCCCTATGATGTTCTGAGTGTCCTTATGTCCCCTTCTTTCCTCTACCTTGCATTATCCTTTCTCCTGTCTCCATTTTGCCATTGCCCACTTGATAGCACCTGTCTCCCGCCATCCCCCTCTCTAGGGTTCCTTCTCCCCTTCCCACCATAGTATATCTTACCAAGGGCTATGTAACACAAAGAGTAGAATATATTTAAAACAATAAACCAAAAGAATGAGTACTGAGCAGGAAAGGACATTTTAACCTGAAACACCTTCTTCTACTGAGGCATTTTTCTCACTTGAGTTTTGTTTTTCACAGACTCCCCTGACAACTCTTGGCATAGCCCTGAAGTTCTACAATTATTCAATAACTAAGAAGAGTATGAAAGGCTGTGAGCATGGCTGGTGGGAAATTAATGAACACATGTAAGTGATTTTCATATGTGGGGGGTCATATGGGAAGTTCACTGTCTTCTAGGAGTGTTCAGTTTTCTGAGAGAAGGAAGCCAAGGATAGAGGTATTCAGAAACATATATGTGGACAGTTGGCACCTGTGGTCAAAGCAAAATTTGGACCCTCATCCTCATGCCTTCTGGGCTATTTGTGAGCATATTCTACATCTTACAAAGGTATTGTTGAAGTGTTCAAATATCCTGGAGCCACTGGGAAAAATTACCAGGGTACCTCATTCTGGAGGTTCAAGAATAAGAGACTGCCATTTGGTTTGACATTGTAGAAGAGGACTAGCTGACCAGGCTGTGCCCTTGCATTTGGAAATAGTTGGACAGAAAGATCTCATACATACTGCCTGCATTTCTGAATCCATCACAGAGGCCCTATCATCCTAGCTCTTAACTTGTTCCTTAGAAATTATTGTTGTTGATTTATTCCTAAACCTATAAGGCTATTCAAAAATGCAGCTGTGATCTGTCTTGGAGTTTTTGTTATATAGTGCATGGCTCAAAGAAGTATCATGTGAGTTAAAGGATTTTCCAGCCAATTCTTTTGTCTTTGTTATTTCCTGAATGAAATTTTCCCTTCCCAAGAGCCTCCCTTTTCTCCTTCCACATTTCTTTCTATTAAAAAATACTTTTGAGTATAAATATATATATATATATGTGTGTGTGTGTGTGTGTGTGTACACCCATGCTGACATCCTGGAGGTTGATATCAGCTATTGTCCTCTCTCACTCTCTATCTGCTGTTGTTTTTGAGACCATGTATCACTGAACTAGAGTTTTTGTTTGTTTGTTTGTTTGTTTGTTGTTTGTTTTTTTGGCTGGCCAGTCAACTAGTGCCGTGCCTGCTGCGCAGCCTGTATCCGAGAATGTGGCCAGGGTGTCGGGATTGATGACACAGAGACCAGTCGGTTGCGTTAAGAAATCTTTATGCTCCCCAAGAAGGCTCAGGAGAACGTCCCAAAAAAACGCTTCCCTCCAGAAAAGCTTCTGCCATCCATCCACTCATATGCACACACACCTCTCTACCTCCTCCTGGCTGGTGGTTAAATCCCTGACACCAGAACCTGGAACAGCAGGGGGGACAGGAAGAAGTGGCTAGCCATCGGGAAGATCAAAGTCAGGGTGTTTCAGTGAACAAGCCCTTATCAAGCCTTTATCAGGAATTTATAGCTCCAGTAAACATTTCTTAGGGCACTGGATTGTTTTCAATGTTTTCAGTAAACATTGTCTTGCAGCTGCCTGCTCCCAGGCTGATGGAGGAGTGGGTTTCTGGCCAGGGTCTGTTGTCCCCACAAACTAGCAAGCCTCAGTGATTCTCCTGTCCTCATATCTCCAGCACTGAATTACAGATGCTCAGGGACCCTGGCTTTCTATGTGGGTGTTAGGATTCAAAACCAAGTGTGCAAGCTTGCACAGCAAGCACTTACTCACTAAGCCATTTGCCCAGCTCTCTAAGAGGTTTTCTGAACAAGACACCTTTTCATTTGTTTAGACAATCTGCAAAGTAATCATGCTCCTGTTTCCACTGGAAGCCACCTTTCTGAAATACATCATTAAAATACGGCCTTTACTCATTTTTGAAACACAGCCTGTATCAAATAAGTGATATTATTTTGTCTCTTTATAGTCCTGGCTATTCTGGAACTCACCATGTAGACCAGGCTGGCCTTGAACTCACAGAGACATGTTTGCCTCTCCAGTGTTGGGATTAAAGATGTGAACTACCACGCCCAGCTTCAAGTATCTCTTATATAGGTTCAAATTTAACCCTTGCCTACCATCTTGTAGCTATTCAACTAGGAAAAATATTGCCCCTTTTGATTACAGTTATTTTTAAACTTGTTTTTGTTAGTGTTCAATGAAAAAAATGCAAAATATGTCAAAAGTATGTGGTGCACGCCTTTAATTCTAACATGTCAGAGGCAAAGGCAGCTCCAGGATAGACTGCTATACATAGCAAGTTTCAGGCCAGCTATGTCTACATAGTGAGACATCCTTACCTAACAAACAAACAAAAACAAAACAATGTGTAATGTGTCCCTGAAATTTTAAGAATACTGCACTTGATATACAATGAAAGCAAAGATTCTTAGCACACACACTGACTCATCTTTTGTGGAGCTATGAGCCTAAGAATGAACAAACTGTGCTTTGGTTTTTGTTTTGTTTTTTGAGACAGGATTTCTCTGTGTGGCCCTTGCTGTCCTGGAACTTATTCTGTCGACTAGGTTGGCCTTGAACTCAGAAATTCACCTGCCTCTGCCTCCTGAGCACTAGGATTAAAGGTGTGCATCACTACCTCCTGGCTCAAACTGTGCTTTGAAAAGGAGAGAGGACTTTTTCCTCTCATAACAAGTACGAGCCCAGTCTTTTTGCTTCAAGTAGAAGAGTCTCCTCCCAACTAATACCAGGAAAGCTTCCTGCCCCCAATACTTTCCCTGAAACCCTGAAACAGAGGCTCTTCCTACAGTCCTTTAGGCCAGTGAAGTCTTAACAAACTCATCTGATTCCCCTTGTCCCCTGAGGATGTAAGTCTCCAGATCTGTCCATACCAGTTCTTTCCATCTAAAGAAGAAAGGCTCTGCTTTGTATCGTCAAAACTGAGCTGAGAAGTGGGTCAAGGGACTGTGGGTTGCAATGGGGAAGCGAGAAAGCAAAGCAAAACAAAAACACAATGTTGCTGGGAAGAAATCCAACGTCTTTCTGAAACATAAGACAACATAGACGTGGGTATTTGTGCCCAGGAAAGCTGAATGCAGTATTGGAATCCCAGTGTAGTGAATAATAGCCTTTGTACAACTCTAGCAAAGCAGCCCTTTGGTGTCTTAGAAAGTGCTAGAGTTTAGCATTGTGCCAACTTGTGCACAGATCCTGGGTCAGTAGAAATATCTTTGCTGTTGGAACTTCAACAAATCGATTCACTTCTTTATGATTCCCATTCCTTGTCATGTGTCTGTACAGAATATAAAGTGACTCTTACTTGGTTTCTTTGATCTCTCATGTTTTATACTTTTAATCTATAAGCCACCATCATGTCCTGAAGCACACTAACCATCTTCAAACTCCAGCCCAAGCATGGGTGCAAAGGAACCTTGCTTCTTGATCCCCTCCTTAGCATGTGTGCTGGTTAATTTTCTTGTTATTATCACAACATATAAGACAGAAAGAAGGATTTAGTTTGATTCAGTTTCAGTGGATTTTAGTTTGTTGTTGTGGTGGATAAGGAGTGCCTCAGTCTGGTGGGCAGAAACATGGGGTAGCTGGGCACATTGCAGAGGCCAACCAGGAAGCAGAAGGTGGAGCAGGTGCGAGGGTGGGGTAGAGTGAGGAGGAGTGGGGTGGATCCAGGAGAATGCATCCCTTAGTATTCTATCCCTAACTATCTACTTCCAGCTGGAACCTGTCTCCTAAGTGTTTACAACCTATAATAGTGTCACCACCTTAGGACCAACTATTTCAACTACATGATCTTGTAGGAGATCCTCCACATTTAAAACATACAAATACACCCAAGAGGAGCTCAACTTTGCAAGAAAATCCCAGATGCTAATGGAAGGGACAGCCATTTCTTTCTTGTGTCCTAGTCACTGGCTATATCCTCTCACTTCCTGAATTTCAGCCAGCTGCCAAAGACTATTGAATAATACAGGTCAGCTTTGGGTTCATGGAACATAAGCAGTTCCCAAATGCCTTGAGAGTCTAGAGTGCTTGGCATTCACAGGTACCAAGTGATCCCTCAATTTTTATATCAGCTGTTTCCCATAGAGACTTGACAGGTTTCACACTGGAAAGGCAGCGCCTACACAGGGCTGTAAACTAACTTATCTCACTGTAAAGTAATATTCTATGCTCCATTAACTACAATGCTCACATAATGAGAATTATTAACTAGAGTGACATTTACTCAAAAGAACCCTGGGAACCCTGCTCACGTGAAATGATGGGAAGAAGAGAAAAAGTCAAGGTAGGGAATACTGTGGAAAATTGTTACATCTTTGAAATGTTGCCAAGGACAAGCCCCAGGGTGCATATCAGATTTCAATTAAGATTGAATTAATGCTGTTTTCTTTTGTCTCAACTGTGGGTGGGATTATTTGCATATTTTGAGCCTGAGCTCACAGATTCTACTCTACCAAGGGGTTTATGGATAAAAGCGGGCCATTCTTGTTACATATTTTTGACAATAAAAATATAAACACTAGGAGAATTTGATTCATTATTCTGTTAATTTGCGGTGTGGGTAAAGAAATCAACAGCTCAACAGTACTGTGTTTGTTCTGTTTAGCAAAGGAGAAAACTCTTACCACATCACAGTCCCACAACACAAAGTATCTGTTATTGTTAGCTCTACCAGAAGCATCTCTGCTCATGGAGCCTGAATGACAAAGCATCAGTGATGTCCACTGGCAAGGGAACACAGTCTATGGGACCTCATGCCACATGTCCTCCCCGCCTCTTGTCTTCTCAGGTACTGTGGCTCCTACATGGATCATGAGACCATTTTCCGAGTGCCCAGCCCCTTGGTCCACATCCAGCTCCAGTGTAGCTCCAGACTTTCAGACAAACCTCTTTTGGTAGAATATGGCAGCTACAATATCAGTCAACGTAAGTTTGGAAGCAGTTTAGAAAACCTAATGAGCTCTTAATGATAAAGGAAGGCCAATCCTCCTTTACTTCAGGCCTTGAGAACTTAAGGAATTAATACTGCCTCGTTTTTGTTATTTGCTATTATATACATATCTTTTAAAAATAGGCAAATTGTATATACTAAAAATAATAAAATGCACATCAAATTATATATTAGTGATATATTTTAAATTATAGAAAAAACAACTTTTTGATATTACTGACTTAGAATTGAGATGAAGTTTTTCATATGACTTTTAAAATATAGGAAAAGCTCATATTTTGCTCTTTCTTGATTTCCTTCCCTCATCCTCCTCTTCTTTCTTTCTCATTTTTTTCCCTTTGAAACAAATTCTATCTGTGTAGCCCTGGCTAGCCTATGTAGACCAGGCTGGTGTTGAACTCATATCAGTCCTCATGCCTTGACCTCCACGGTGTTGGGATAACAGGCATGTGACACCACATTCATCTGGATGTTGTTTGTGTTAGCCATAACTCCTTGTGATCATAGTGTTTATATCAATATGCAGTGGATCTGTGAGTGGCATTTTGTATTCTCTTTGGAGGACAGTGACTGGGGAGAGTTGGTTAATTGAGATGACTCATAGTTCAACTTTCAGAAAGTTCAAATTTGTATAAGAAACCACAGAACATGGCCAGGAAGTGGTCTTAGGAAAGGAGACTTTTGGCGGAAGTTGTTGAAGCTGCAGAGTGTAGATAATGACTGGAGATATTTTAGCTCCTTTTGAAAAGTGACAACAAAAGTAACACAGTGGAGATTCTACAATTATGGTGTGAGTAGAAGCTTCTTTGTACCTTGTTTTACTCTGCCAACTCTAAACACACTTGCTTCTGGATTCAGTGCTGTGTTCTGATATTCAGAGTGTTTGAATTTCTAGTGGGGACACAGGAGAGGCAAAACATCTTAATTGCTAATGGTTTCACACATGCTGATGATAGTCTATCACACCATCCACTCTTCCCACTGCCACTGAGGTGGTAGCTGGCCTGACATGTTCGCCTCTGTCCTTTCACACGAGAGGAGAAAGCAATTATTATTTCTGTAGTACTCACCCACAAGCTCAGGCTCAATGGTTTGATCTCTGATGAGTAGCCTGGTTAAGTTGGAAGGAACAATGGACAGTGAGGGGGGAGGCAGGAGCTCTGGGCTTTGAGAGCAGACATTGGTCTTACTATGTTCACCTTCTGTAGCATTAATTTGCTTTTATTCTTTGCTTATTGAAATTATGCATTAAAAATTACCCATAGTCATGGTTTTTATCATTGCTTCCATTTTTCTACCAAATCCCTAATCAACTAATACTTCATAATTCTTTGCTAAGGTGGTCTGATGAGTTTTAGGAACCAGACAAGATTTTCTGTTTCTTTTCTCTTTCATTCTTTCTTTTTTACTTTCTTTTTTCTTTTATTGCCTATAGCTTGTCCTGCTGGATCTTTTAGATGCTCCTCTGGTTTGTGCATCCCCCAGGCCCAGCGCTGCGATGGAGTAAATGACTGTTTTGATGAAAGTGATGAACTTTTCTGTGGTAGGTGTAATATGAACTCATTATGAATAAGTAACTTCTTGGAATCCCTGTGTTGCAGTCTCTAGTTGCTGTAGGTCACTAGATACACCAAAACTCAATGGTTTAATTAGCCCAATCATTTTTTCTTGATCATGCATTCAAGCATTGGAAGCCATAATATACAATCAAAAGACTTGTAATGTTAAATAAAAAAGAAAAATACCAAGCAAAGCAATAGGAGAGAAAAAGTCTACACAAATGCCACTGAGCTTGTTTTGTGTTGGCCATCTACTGCTCGGCATGGGGCCAGCCCTTACATGTAGTTAATGTACTCGGTGAGAATCCATTGGAGAAAAATAATTTTTCTTTTGCAAGCAGAGGTCATTTGGAGGTAGCTTTTCAGTTAGCTCATGTCCTTTCCCTTCTCAGTGCTGGGATCCAGTATGGCTTGGACCTATGGAGGCTGTGTGCTTGCTGCCACAGTCTCTGTGAGTTCATATGTGTACCAGTCCCATTGCATCCGAAAACACTGCTTCTTTAGAGTCCTCTAGCTCTCACAGTCTTCCTGCCTCCTCTTCTGCATGCACAGTGATATCGTGCTGGTAGTGACTGAGGGACGGATACAGGATAGTCCTAGTCTACATGGAGAGACGGATACAGGATAGTCCTAGTCTAGATAGAGAGACAGATACAGGATAGTCCTAGTCTAGATGGAGAGACAGATACAGGATAGTCCTAGTCTAGATGGAGAGACAGATACAGGATAGTCCTAGTCTAGATGGAGAGACAGATACAGGATAGTCCTAGTCTAGATGGAGAATTTATATCTTGATTTTTCATTGTGATTTGTAACCTGCTTCTGAATTTATTTCTAGTTTCAGGGAACAATATTTAGAAGATAATTTACTGGACAATATGAAACTATTGGCAACATTTTTTTCAGTGTTTAAATACTCTTATAACAGTAATGGTATGTGGTTTTTCCCTGTCTTTAGACAGACATTATACTTATTATACGACAACTATATGAAATTATGTTCATAAAAATAACCCGTGCCTCTACTGTGTGTGTGTGTGTGTGTGTGTGTGTGTGTGTACTGGAATCATGCCTAGTGCCTTTCATGTGGTAGGCAAGTTCTCTAACACTGAGCTGCATCCTTAACTCCTTTGTATACTTTTAAATTCAAAAATCTTCTTAGTTTATGGCTTATTAGCAGTCTATATCTATAAAATATTCTAATTCCTTTCCTTCCTTCCCTCCCTCCTTCCTTCCTTCCTTTCTTTCTCTTGCCTTTTCTTTTTTCTTTTTTGGAGACAGGGTTTCCAGGCTAGCTTCGAACTCACCAGACATCCACCTGACCTCCTGAGTGCTGGGGTAAGGGTGTGCACCGACACAACCTGGCTTCTGTTTCTTAAGAAAACAGATACTGGCAATTTTTGTGGTTGAAGATTCTTTTTGTTCCTTACTGTTCTTTGCTCTGATGCTCCAGCTGAAAGCCATTGCCATTACTTTATAATGACCAATGCTTTGCTCATTATATTTCACCATATCAGTTTTGAAGCTATCCTACAGATGTCAGCTGGGCACTGTTGGAGACAACCAACTATTTCAAGGCAACAATATACTTCTCTCACCACTCAGAGGAGCTAAGATGAGAAATACTCTGGTCACCTAGGCAAGAGAATAAAACTGCTAAATTTCACAATCCAGAAATCACTGAGAAACCATCCCTTCTAAAGATGCTTGCTGGCACACTGTACCTGCCATGACAGGGATGGTAATTCAAGAAGTGTGTCAAAGAGGAATCAGTGGTGTTTGGGGTATAGACCTATCAGAATCAAACAATTTTCAAGTGGTTTCACATGTGGACCACAAGTCTGATGTCCTTTAAGATCTGACATTCATTAATTTTTTCACCAAGCTTTTTGTGAACACCTCTTATTTTTGGTCAGGGACCCAAAGTGAAGAGATAGATAAGATTAGCCAGGCGGTGGTGGCGCACGCCTTTAATCCCAGCACTCGGGAGGCAGAAGCAGGCGGATCTCTGTGAGTTCGAGGCCGGGCTGGACTGATAGCCTCCAAAACAATACAGAGAAACCCTGTCTTGTAAAAACAAACAAACAAACAAACAAAAAACCAAAAAAAAAAAAAAGATTAAATCTCCCATTTCAGTCAATTGCACCTTCTTTGGGAGGGTAGGCAAGTTCAACTCAGATACACGCTGATGAGAAGCTTTTTTTCCTTAGACAAGGGTTACTTATGCCAGGCATGGTGGCGCACATCTTTAATCCCATCACTCAGGAGGTAGAGGCAGGTGGATCTCTTTGCGTTCAGGGGTCATCCTGGTCTGCATAGTGGTTTCCAGGTTAGCTAGGGTTACACAGCGAAATCTTGTCTCAAACTGGTTATGATGCAACCAGTTAAAGTTACTTAAACTACCCAATTTAAATATTTACCTAATAGCAAAAACAAGACCTGACAAACTCTTACACAAGGAGTTATATCAAAGAAAGGAGTTATGTTGGGGAAGTCCTGTTATTTGCCTGTGCATTTGTCAATAAAGTACTGTCTGGCCAATAGGGAATCTAGATAGGAGGGACTAGGAGTCCAGGAGGACTCTGGGTAGGAGAAACACAAGAGAGTCGAGATGTAACGCCATTGGGGTAGGAGCCCGGACCTATTCTCCGGTAAGAGACATACTTAGATTAACAATTATGGAGTAATTACTTAAAGCAGAGCTAGCCAGTAAGAGACAAGCAAGGCCAACAACTTCATAATTAATATAGCCTCCTGTGTGTTTATTTGGGACTGATGCAGATCTGGAACCAGGCGGGCGGGAAGGCTTCTCACAAGGAAAAAGCTTCTCTTTACAGAGTTATATATGCTAAACATCTGCTTTCTTCCAGGGATATGTCATTTCAAGGAAAACTCTATCACTTTATTGTATTAGCCATGTTAAGGTTCATAGAGGGACACAGTTGGTCATGGGACAGCCCAGCTGATGTCCTGTGTTCATGACTTTTGTGTCTCTCACCACAGTGACTTCCAAACCTGCCTGCAACGCCAGTATCTTCCAGCAGCGTGGCCCCCTGGTCTGTGATGGCTTCTGGGACTGTGAGGATGGCCAGGATGAGCAGAACTGCACTCGGAGTGAGGAAGACACACAGGGCTGTGGTCTTTCTATAGAACCTCAACGAGCCAAAAAGCTCTGTTGTATTCAGAGAGATCATCATGCCCCAGTTTCCCCAGACCATTCTCAGTCTTAGCCCTGATAACTCTTGTTCTGAGAATCCTCCCCATCCAAGAAAACAATGACATACTTGCTCACAGTAGGTGGGGTGGATTTAGATGTGCTCATGTGCAAATATTGGCACATTTTTGTGGTTATACTTGCTTTTCATGCTAGCTATAGGTTAGACAAAGAAGGTCTGTCAGAGAGGAGCCTGCCAGACACTGTGAGGACACCTGCTCATACCACCTCAGGAAGTGAATCTTATAGGTGGTGAACAAATGCATTGTAATTCAGTATATCTCCTCCTTATTTTCCCCTAACAACCTGAGAGGACTGCTTGTGGTGTGTTATGACATTTTTTTTTCCTTCTTGGACAGTAAGACTATGCAATAGCTAAGAGGCCATGACCCAAGGCCATTGATATGGCAAACTATTTACCTTGTGTTCCCCATGGTATGGAGAGGCAGTTGGAGTGAATCTCAGCTGTGTGCTATTTGCCTGCCTTCCAATGGATCTGCTTACATGAAGGAAGAGGTCCCTGTGGGGTGTCCCCATTTTCCTCGGCCAGCTTTTTCCAGAGCAGAAAACAGCGATGTTGTGTCTGATACCTCTTTTGGCAGAGTTCCATGTCATTCCCTCAAACCAGTTTCTGACCATGAACAGCAACAACAAAAACCGTTTCTTCTTTTTGCTCATGTTTAGGCATCCCATGCACCAACAGGACCTTTAAATGTGGCAATGACATGTGCTTCCAGAAACAAAATGCGCAGTGTGATGGGATAGTGGATTGTCCAGACGGAAGTGACGAAGAGGGCTGCAGTGTGTAGAATTGGCTTCTTTTGATTGTGTATTTCCTCTTCCTTTATCCACTGTCTACTTTTATCGCTTGAGAGTACTATTCCTCAAACAGAGATTGCTATGGATCTAGGAAGTAACAATACTTATTGGTGAACTGAATATGACATTGTTACAAAGGAATAAAAACCCTGAAGTTTGCTCCATCTTCCTTCTTGATAATAGAGTTTATGCACAGAATGCTTTCTAATAATCCCAATAAAGAAAAAATTTACCTGTGTATAAAGCTGTGAAGCCTGGCAGATGACTTTTAGTAAGATGACACTCAGTAAAAACAGCACCAAGATTCTTTATGTCATATGTTCTCCTCAGTAATGTGACCTTTAATTAATCATGAGGCAATAGGGTCATGCTACCTCCTTATCAGTGCCATTTACACCAGAAAGCAATGACATTGATAACTTTTTAATAAATGTCCACGTCTTGGGCTTACAAATTCTCTTCCAAATGGCGTCTCTCAAATTAATAAAACTTCAAAGACATTATGAATTGTTTCATGTTTGGAACTTCCTGTTTCTTTTCCACTCCATGAGCTGCTGTTTATGTCAGCTGTTACTATAGGGCCTCCTCTCCCAGTATGAATCAGTGTGTAGACACCAAGTCAGGGCATGCTCTCAGAAGCAAAGGAGTGGTGCTTTGTTGGCTCTGGTTCTAGACAAACCTACAGATTTCCTCTCTGCTAGATAAGTAGGAGATTTCCAACTGATGACTTGATGAGTCAGTTTCTAACCCGGCCATAGACGCGATTGAATTTCTGGTTCGCTGTGTGTGTTTCTTCTGTCTGCCTTTCAGTTATATGACCCTTCCTCTCCCAAAGGCTGTAGCAGAAGTTCTTCCTCTCCCCACCGCATCGTTGGGGGTTCTGACTCCTATGAGGGGACCTGGCCATGGCAGGTGAGCCTCCACTTCGTTGGATCAGCCTACTGTGGTGCCTCAGTCATCTCCAGGGAGTGGCTTCTCTCTGCAGCCCACTGTTTCCATGGGAACAGGTAGAGCATCCCAATCTTCACCTTCAAAACTATACATCTAACCTCTGGTTTGGGGAAAAAACTTCCTGCTGGAAATGATCAATTTAGTTGGGCTCCTTTATGTCTTCAGGTGGGGGTAACCAGTTTTATCCAATTTTGTTTTTAGCTATCATTGACATAAAGAAAAAGAACACAAAGGAAGCACCAAGGCTGGATATGCTTTCATTAGGCTGAGGAAATGGAGACTGGCTTTCAAACCACAGGGGCAAACCTAAGTCAGTGTATGGAATGCAAAGGGGGCAGTATTGGCTGGAGAGCAGTGATCTCTTTTGGATGATGCAGGGACACCAAAAGTTAGGACTATCATTGGAAGGGCTCTGTTTGCTTTTGCCAAAGTGGTTATTATGGGAAAGATTCTCCTTTATGTAGGAGGAAGCCTGTATGCCGCCATTAACCATGTGACTTACTAGAGGCGCATACAGATGAGGTAATAAAAGGGCGGTTTACCACACTGCTAACCATACCCACTTTAGGCATGACTAAAGACGTATCCCTTTTATTACCTCATCTGTATGCGCCTCTAGTAAGTCACATGGTTAATGGCGGCATACAGGCTTCCTCCTACACCTTTAACTAAGGGTAAAGGCAAAACTTAAAAAATAAAACCTCACTTAAAACTTATACCTAGGGGCTGGAGAGATGACTTAACAGTTAGAGACACTGACTGTGCTTCCAGACGACCTGGGTTCATTTCCCAGCACCCATGTGGCTTACAGCTGTCTGTAACTCCAGTTCCAGGGTGTCTGGCATCCTCACACAGACATACATGCAGGCAAAGCACTAATGCACATAAAATAAATAAATCTAAAAGCAAAACAACCCATCCTCAAAAGACAAACACCCCCCCCCTTTAAACCCTAGCTGAGATCTGCTGGATATTAGGTAAAACAAAACATCAATTAACCTAACATTTTAGAGTATTACAATGAAGTTACACCATTTGAGTCATTGCTTTTCTTGGAACTTACAGGATTCATGTTAATTACTAAAGTAGCTTCATCAATAAGTGAAATAACTGCTCCAAATATGATAGCCTTAGAGTCTTTGGATCTCTGGTACACTCAGGAGATGTCTCCTCAGCAGATTAATGTATGAATTCTGGGGACCATGTCCTTAGCTCTCTTCCAAAGCGTCCATGTTCTCTGCACCCCAAATTTTCCCTGGCTGCTACATTGATTCTGTGGGAGACTAAACCTTATGAGGGAGCTCCAAGCCCCTCTCAAGTGAATTGGCCAAGGTCTGAGCAAGCACTACACTGATCTGTAAAAATTCTGATAGCTTGCATGAAAGTATTTCCTTATGCCCTGAAGCTTACAACACTTCATTGTCTAATCTGTTGATAGCCATTATATTTGACTTTGGTAAAAGGGCTCCCAAACAATACCTTACTGTATTTGTGTGTCTATAACATTAGCATAAGTAAAAGAGTATAACAAATTAATTGTAGCCACCTGTATTTGTGATCTGTGTGTGGTTCATGAGACATCAGAGGGCAAGGAATTTTTGAGATATTTCCTCAAAGTACCATTGAGAGAGTTCTTTGGAATACCGCTGTAACTTGCTGGTATTTCTATCAGTTATAGCAAGGTTCTTGCTATGTCCCTGAACAGAACCAGGAGTGAAGACAGGGTCTGGCAGTAAGGCCCTCCTTTTCTGATCCTCATGGCTCTGTAAGTGTTTGCTTCCAAACAATTTACTAAATCTGTCTCATTCCTTTTTTACCAGGCTGTCTGACCCCACTCCATGGACTGCACACCTTGGGATGTATGTACAGGGGAATGCCAAGTTCGTGTCTCCAGTGAGAAGGATTGTGGTCCATGAATACTATAACAGTCAAACCTTTGATTATGATATTGCTTTGCTACAGCTCAGTATAGCCTGGCCTGAGACCCTGAAACAGCTCATTCAGCCAATATGTATTCCCCCTGCTGGCCAGAAACTGCGCAGTGGGGAGAAGTGCTGGGTGACCGGCTGGGGGCGAAGGCATGAAGCAGGTGTGTATGAGTGAAGGGTCATGCCCCTGCCCTGCAAAGGAAAGACATCTGCGCTGGCTCGGAGATGATTTGAATATACCGTCTCAGTGAAGGGGGTTTGTTTTATTTTATTTATTTTTCATATTTTTGGTTTTTTGAGACGGGGTTTCTCTGTATTGTTTTGGATTTACTGTCCTGGAACTTGCTCTGTAGACCAGGCTGACCTTGAACTCACAGAGATCCGCCTGCCTCTGCCTCTGCCTCCTGAGTGCTGGGATTAAAGGCATGTGCCACCAACGCCCGGTGAAGGGGGTTTTATTATCTGTGTTTTGTCATCTTTTTTTCCCCACCTGCCCTAAAACAAGCAGGGCTCAATTGATGGAGGGATAGAAGAATTGTATGAGCAAGACAGGACTGGTCAATATGGGCCCTTCTCAAACTCTAGAGCTAGGCACCCCACTGTAGGAGAGCAATTCCTCCTTTTCATCTAAAGAAGTGATTCATTTTGTAAAAGAGATAGCACACGTGTGAATACCCTACTGCACCAACCCAGACAATTGTCTGGAAGGTTATGTAAGTGTGTCTCACACTAGGACTATTGACCAAGGGATGGGAGTGAGAAAGAAATCCAGCCTGGGCACACCTTAGACTGCAAATTCTGACGCAGGCATCAAGGCATCCTAGAATCAGTCCACCCAGTGGGAATTACTTTTTGCAATTCTTTCACATACCCAGAAAAGGAATCTTTTTTTTTAATGTAAAGGTCAGGTTGTATGCCTGGGAAGCCCCTCTATCCAGCTTGCCCAGGTTTCCCCTGGCTCATGATTTGTAGCTGAATTTAAAGATGCAGTGAGGAAGAGAATCCAAAGCTGTTTAAGCATTTCCCCAAAGGGGTTAGCACCCATCTATTACTCAGATCCCTTTGATGTCTTTTCCAAGGGGAAATGGCAGATACAGTTCATGTAACTTCTCAGTTTACCCCACAGCTTTGGTATGATTCTAAAGATTCACTGTGGTGGTTTCTCAGAGTCTCAGAACCATTATGAAATTATGGAAGTAGTGGTACTCACCACCAAATGAAGTTTGCTGGAGTCTAAGAATCCTAAGGAGGGATGGCACCTGTTTGCACACTTACAATTCTGCTTATATATTGTTGTGCCTGGTGGTTTTACTATCTTGTCTTAGCTTGCTTTCCTATTTCTGTGAGAAACACTATGACCCAAAGTAACTTGAGGAGGAAAGGGTGTATTTCACTGCACTGTCTATAGTCCATCATGAAGAGAAGTCAGAGCAAGACCTCAAGGCAGGAGCCTGGATGCAGAAACTGAATCAGAGACAATGGAGGGCTGAGGCTTACTGGCTTGCTGCTAAGATGAATGTTTAGTTGCCTTTCTCATACTTTCCAGGACTACCTGCCCAGGGGTGATACTGCCCACAGTATCTGAGCCGTCTCTCATCAATCATTAATTAAGAAAATGCTCCGTAAGCTTGCTGGCAGGTCAATCTGATGAGGTTTTTTTCTCAACTGAGGTTCTCTGTTTCCAGATGACTCCAGCTTTTGTTGAGTTGATTAAAAAGCCTAACCTACACTTTCTTTATTTATTATTTGAGCAAGAGACTACTCACCTCACTCGAGACACTTTCTTGAAGAGAATGAGTGTATATGTATGTTTTGGGACTTATTATAGCCAGGCAAGTTAGAAAGGAAGAAGCCATAGAAAAACAAGTCAGTTTTAATGGCTCCTTGGAGAGTCCCACACATTAGTTACGTGTCTCTTTTTGAGAAGCTCTCCTGGACTGAAAACAGTGGTATTAACAGTGAACAGGCCCACAGGACACAGTGGCACAGTAACTCAATAGATAAGGTGGTGAAGCCAAACCTTTGACTGAGTCCTGGTGTTACTTTCTGGTTGTGTACCATTGGGCAAGGCTTTAATCTTACAAGGCCTCATTTCTTTGGAGGCAAAATGGGGCTAATAGAATTCACCTCAAGAGAATCGCTCTGAGACGGAATGAAAGGAGACAACCTGAGCTGATTGCTCAAGTGAAACCTGGAAGAAGTGTGTAATCCTTACCATCACTGTGATATCTATCCCCAATGTGTCTTCCAGATAAGAAGGGCTCCCCGGTTTTGCAGCAAGCAGAGGTAGAGCTCATAGATCAAACTGTTTGTGTTTCCACCTACGGAATCATCACTTCCCGGATGCTCTGTGCAGGGGTTATGTCTGGCAAGAGCGATGCCTGCAAAGTGAGTCTTCCTCCTTCCCATTGCTAACATATTGTGCTTTCCATAAATGCGTTCACTTTTCATCCACACAATCCTGGGACTATCTAGGGCAGTCCTTGTCCTTCCTCCATCTGACATGCCCAAATACTAATTATGATTCAGTTGCCTAAGACCAGGGAAACATGGAGAAAGAATGGGTTTAAAAATTATCATCCACTTATGAGTGAGTACATACCACGTTTCTGCATCTCTATCTGGGTTACCTCACTCAGGATGATTTTTTTCTACTTTCATTCATTTGCCTTCAAATTTCTCGGTGTCTATGTTTTTAACAACTGAGTAATACTCCACTGGGAAAATGTACAATTTTTAAATTCATCCTTCGGCTGAGTGATATCTAGGTTTCCAGGTTCTGGTTATTACAAATAAAGCTGCGATATATATGGGTATATTTTCAAGAGTGGTATAGCTGGGTCCTGTGGTAGATTGATTCCCAGTTTTCTGGGAAACCGCCTCACTGACTTCCAAAGTGGCTCTACAAGTTTGTACTCCCACTGCAGTGGAGGAGTTTCCCCTTTGCCCCATATCCTCTCCAGCTTGAGCTGTAGCTTGGTCCTCTTGTGGGACTCCTAATGGTGGGACAGGGCTGTCTTCGGCTCTTTTCCTTGCTTTTGGGACCCTGCTCCTCATACTGGATCACCTTGCCCAGCCTTAATATGTGGAGGAGGTTCTTAGTCTGACTGCAACTTGATGAGCCATGTTTTGTTGATACTTATGGGAGACCTTTCTTAATTAGAAATGGAGGAGGAATGGATTTGGGGAGTGGGTGGGAACAGAATGGGGTTGGGGGGAAGGGACTGGCAGGAAAGGAAGGCAGAGAAACTGGGGCAAGGATGTAAAATAGATAAATAAATAAATTTATTTTAAAAATAAAATATACAGAAACAATTTCTATCCACACATCGACACATACAGACCGCCTCATTGTTGTTACTTGTTCTATCAGCACCAAACTCCGGGTTCATTTACCTCTTACTCTGATGCATAGTCTGGGGAAGGGAAGAGGAAGGAGGCCAAGACAGAGCACACTAGTGTAGGCTTCATGGTTGTCCTGGGAATGAAAGGGAGAGTTGTAGGCTACTTTCTGGGGACATTACCTTGAGCCTTTAATTCCAATCTGTGCAGATCCCACCATGATCTACACTGAGCAAATAGATGATCTGGAGCATAAGGAGCAGTGTGTGTGGGGGGCTTTCCCACATCTTTCCAACTTTAGTTGCAATGCCAGTACCTCATCTTATTATAACCATGGCTTCCATTTTCTGAGATTTTATTTGGTAGCAAGCTCTGGGCAAGGTCCTATATATAAATTCATTCATATCATTTTTAAATCTTTATTCTATAGCAAAGCCTAAGTAGAGCTCCCCCTCCCCCAAGTTGTACATCCAGGAGGTGTGAGTGTCTGGGTGGGATGGAAACCCTTTCTTTTCTTAATACTAATGTCAGTATACTTTAGGACCTTAGTGTGGCTGGCCAACTACATAGCTGTGCTCTACACAAGCACAAAGGTTTGGGCATTAAATTAGACTTACAGAGCCAGCAATAATAATAAAGACCTGGCTTCCCTACTAGTCAGAATCTACAGCACTTTCTTAGCTTTACATCCAAGCTGTAACTTTACCCACCCTCCAAATTAGAAACACAAAGCTCCAGATATTAGACTTAAAGAGCCCTGCTGTAGGGATTGGTTAAACTCTGAGATGTCAGAGGCATTCTCAGATGAAAACAGTTGGCAGTCAGTAGCTCTCGGGATTGTTTCAGTGGACCCGGTTGACCATGTCCTTTCTTCTTTCACCCTGGGTCAATGAGCCAACTGCTGAAGCTGAATGGTCCACAAATGGAAGTCAGTCCTCCAATATAACCATGATGTTTTTGTGATGTGAAATGAACCCAGGCACTGCTGGGCATATAGCCAACACTAATTAGACATCAGCCCCTGCTATTGCTACTATTTTTTGATGTTACAATGACTACTAGTAGTTAATTCTTCGAGGGTTTGTGAGAATTTGCTTTCTCTTGCATAATGGTCACAGAAGCAAAACCATGAACAAATAGTATTAGACACACAAATGATGGACTTGGTGCTCAGGAGACACATGCCCTCATGTTTATATTATCTTTTTGTGTAGGGAGATTCGGGTGGACCCTTGTCTTGTCGAAGAAAGAGCGATGGAAGATGGATTCTGACTGGCATTGTTAGCTGGGGACACGGATGTGGAAGGCCAGATTTTCCTGGTGTTTACACAAGGGTGTCAAATTTTGTTCCCTGGATTCATAAGTATGTCCCTTCTCTTTTGTAACTGTACCAGTTGAATTTTTAACTGTTACTTACATGATAAAGTCTTGAAAAAAGTGTAAATATTATCAATAAATTTAATCTGTTTTTTCAACTGGAAATGTCATATTGAGCACATCTGATATACATTACAAGGTAGACAAATGAATAAATAGTCCATAAAAATTCCCCAAGGGTATAATGATATTCATTCTAAGGTATCAAAATGTTATTGGCTTATGGATGGAAGAAAACTAAAGTAATGTCACAAACCAAACTTGTAAAACAAAATGGGAACTATGACAGGTGTCCTTCCTATGTGTTCTAATGCAAGCAGAGATGCTTGCAAGCATTGAGACAAACATGCCACACAGCTAAGAAATTTCAGGGAAGTCATACCTGACTGTTAGCATTCTCACAAAACTCAGCGCACAAAACAATGGTACTTCACAAACAGACATAAAGCAAAATTCGGCAATTGGCAGAGGAGGAAGTGACAGTGTTGCTTTCCAATCCTATTTGTTCTCCCCACATCACGTCGGACCTTGGCTGCACAGGGGCATGGTGTCCACAGAGAAACTCATCCACCTCTACACAAAACGAAGCATGGATCCACCCACACACAGAACTACGGGTTTGCAATCTTCACTAAAGTGATAGAAAGCAGTACTGTAAGAGATGATCTGAGGCTGGCGGGGAAGGGGGGAAGGGGGTTAGTGGTAGTGATGGTGCACGCCTTTAATCCCAGCACCTGAGAGGCAGAGGCAGGCGGGTCTCTGTGAGTTTGAGACCAGCCTGGTCTACAAAGAGCTTGTTCTAGGATAGGCTCCAAAAACCCTGTCTCAAAAAACCAAAACAGAGAGAGAGAGGAGAGAGAGAGAGAGAGAGAGAGAGAGAGAGAGAGAGAGAGAGAGAGAGAGAGATCGAGGCATGCCTGTGGGATCCTTCATCTTGATAAAGGTGACCAACCGTGAAAGGCCAGAGGCATTTTTGTGAGTGCTCTGAATGTCAACCTTTTCAGGTATGTTACTTCCTGGCCATTGGTTGTTTTTGTAAAATTTAAATTGTCAAGGTTTTCTTCCATTTTCAAAGGCTTGTAATGCTTTGAATAGTTGTAAGTCTACAGTACCCACTCAACATATTCCAGTTCTTGATCTATTTTAATTTAGAGAGTTTCTCATTACATCTTAGAATATTTTCATTGCCAAGAATCCAGAGTTAGCCATAGCACCAAACAAATAACATGGAAAAAAAAGAATATTATTTATTTTCCCTGAAACAAAGTCAAAGATGAAATAATATTATCATTAAGTAGGGAACAGGGTACTGCAAGAACTGCAGAGAAAATCCAAAAGTGAAAGGAGAGAACAGGAAGTGTTGTTTTCCAAATTAGTTAAAATGATTGAGAAATTCTGACTACCCCGAGAAAATGATACTTCTAGCTCACAGAACATATTTTGATTTTCTAAAAGGCTTTCCTTGGGATTAAGGATAAGTATCACAACAACAGCATCTCTCTGCTGCCTGGGGATGTAACCCAGGGTAGACCATTTACCTGGGATGGACCCTAGCACTGTAAAGGAAAGATATTTTTCTATTACGTTTCTAAGATTTCTGGAGTCCCCAAATTTGGTCGGGGGAAGGGAATGAGGGAGTGCAGTGGTTTTGAACAGAAGGTTGAGAGGAAAAGTTTTTGGACCAACACCCAACTCACATTTTGCAAACATAATTCCAGGCTCACTAAGCCAGTTCTAAGCTATGCAAAGGGTGTGGAGGGATTGTGTGTTTGCCTGCGCTGACCGACACAAGTGTCGTGCTTTCTCCTCAGGTGGGGTGTTTATGGCCCCTCCTCTCAAAGATAAACAATAATGAGTCACTCAGTTACATTTATGAGTTTTGGCTTCTACCCGTCACTGTCTTCTATCTTGAATAACACTCTGTGCATGGAGAACTAACACTTCCTCGCGGACTTCCCAGATAGGCTGTCCTAACTACTATCGGCGACACTGACACTGTCCCTATGTCTGAAGAAGCTTGCAAGGGGAATTAAGTGGCTGTGTATCGTTCATCTTCGTGTGCTCGTAACACAGCAGGCTGCCCTGCACACAGAAGATTCTTCATTGCTGATTATTGATTCGGCAGATGAACACCCTCGCTAGACAGTGAGGACTGGAGTAAGCCTCTGCATCTCATCACAGCAGTGGGGGAGAAGGCAAACTGGGGACTGGATCCCACAGCCCAGTCTATTCCTTCCTTTCCACAGTCCAGCTTGCAATCCGGCTATGTGAGCCGGTCTGGGTCTCCACTCACAGGGAAAGGCTTTGCTGGCAGCAGCCTGAACAAACCCGGAAAACAGCCCTCCTCTGCTCTGGAGCCCAAACCAGGAGAGTCCCACCCGCATCTACCTTTCCGGAGCAAGGTCAGCTCTCCAAGGCCAGCTCGCCTCCACTCGCTGGTTTAGCCCCTCCCCTCCAGGCCAGCCGCTGCAGGTATATCTGGCTCCGCCCTAGGTCTACCTGCCAAGCCAGGTGGGTGGAGTGTGAGCTGAGTCGGACTCTCCCGGTCCTGGACTCTGCACCCTTAGGTGCCTGGGTCTTGCCTCTTGGCAGAGCCTCTGCCCTCTGCGCTGCCATGGAAGGGGCCAGAGCCCCATCGCCCCAGGAAGAGCTGGAGCTCTCGATTCTGGAGGGGCAGCGGGAAGAGGAGACGCCTCTTAACACCGTCCACATCCAGCCTTGCTCCGCGGAGAACCCTAGACCGGCCCAGGTAAGGAGTTGGGGTTCTGGCGTGTGACAGGAGGAAAGGGACCAGGCACTGCTTCAGGGCACTAGGGCTCCCTTCCAGCGTCAAGGACACACAAAGAGGGGGACAGGCAAAAGAAGGCTAGAATGCCTGAGGACAGACCCGTCCACTACTGAGACCTGCCTAGTGACACTTCAGGAACCCTGGAGTGGGGCGTGGCTGCTACTTTCAAGGGAGAAGAACGCTTTGGAGGTTAATGGTGTTTGAAAGTGACATATATTTTTTTTAATTTGGTTTTTCTTTCGTTCTCAAGTAAAAAGAGAGTGGTGGGTAGAATGTTATTTACTCTCTTTCCCTCCTCCCCTCTTTTTCCTCTCTCCCCCTCCTCCCCCTTTTCTCTCAGTATTCCTCCCACCCCTACCCCCACTGGCCTCTTACAGTCTACTCACTACCCTCTATCTCTACCCAGTTCCATGTCCTCACCCTCCCCCCGCCTTCAGACACTTTATGCTTTCTCCTCCGTTGGCTATTGCTTCCTCCAGCACAGAGACGGCCCAAGAACACAGGGAGGAAAGAACTGCGGCCAGACTGAGGGTTGGCCCTGGTGAATTTACTGGCTCAGACGAAAGGAAATAATACCAAGGTTCTACCTAAGAACTAGCCTTGCTGCCTTTTCATCTCTAAGGAAGTCCTTGGGGTGTGTAGGTTAAACTCTTTTCTGATTCAGTCATCGCAATGGCTGAACTTTATCCACAGATCAAATACTTGTAAAACATCAGAGAGCTTGAATTCTGAGCCATCTGTCTTCTGATTAACCCCCAAGGTTAGCTTGAGTTTTACTGGGCACACTCAACTCTTGGAACACATCGTGTTAGCCTGGGCTTTTTCACCCCACTCTACCTCCATGCCTCTTGTGCCCAAGTGCTGGTTTCAGTAGAAAATCCAAGGCTTGCAAACATTATTCTTGGTCTACAGTGATTCCTGGAAACAATGTGTTAATATCTTGTTTCATAACTACCTTGAGGAATATGTTGGCACCTTAGGTTTGTATGAAATGGGACCACAGATGAGTGACATTTGGAAAATGTGGTTGAACGCTAGTGCAGGTAGGCATAGCCAGGAACTTTCTATATGATTCTCCAGGGCAGGGTCTGGGCATGGGAATTACAACTAATTGCTTTAAGTCAGTCAGGCCCAGCACATCCCCAAAGATTCAGACATCCGCTGGTGTGTGTGTGTGTGTGTGTGTGTGTGTGTGTGTGTGTGTGTGTGTGGGACAAGCCTGTGAAATGATGTAACATCATATGCTCCATTTATGCTTCTGGGAGCTCCGGACTGCCTGTGGACAACAGTTGAGAACATGCCAAATCCATGCTGAGCATCAGAATTTTACAATTACTTAGCACCTGCCTTGTAGAGAGCATGCTTTTGTCTCCTAGTGACTTCCTTGTTAGTTAGATGTTTACAGACTTGCCAGACTTCCTTGTAATATATAGCATTGTAGGTCACTAAGTAGAAAAGTTTCACTGACGGAGTGGAGTAGGGGTGAAGGACTCCATGAGAACCCACAGGGTCTTCTAGAAATACTTGAATGGTGACATTTTCATAAGGAAACAGTGGACAAAAGTCTCAAACACCATCCACCTTGTGTTAAAAATCTTCTGATTCTATAGAATAGGTGAAAATGCATGTCAACATGAATGGTCGATTAATTTTGCTCAGTAAGGACTAGTTTACACAAGCCTAGGTTTCAGATGCTTAAGATGTTTGTGTCAAGGTCTTAAGTTGTATGATGATAGTTCTGACTTCGATGCTTGTTTAAGACCATATACTTTCCATACCATATGTTTTGTACCTATCTTATGTGAAATACTGTAACACACAAATGCAGTTAATTATTTTCAACTTAGAAGGAGCTGTCCTAGTTAGCATCAACCATCAACTTGAGACAATTCTAAAATCACCTGACAAGAGCGTCTCAGTTGAGAAACTTTATGGGATTGGTATGTGATATGTTTGTGAGGGATTGTCTTGATTGTCAATTGGTATGGGAGGGACCAGGCCACTGTGGGGGATACCATTTTGAGGGAGGTAGTTCTGGGCTATGAAAACTGGTTAAGCATGAGCCAGTGTGGGAACCGGCCAGCAGCATTCCTCCATGGATTCTGCTTCAAGTTCCTGCTTGAGCTCCTGCCCTGGCTTCCCTCAGTGATGGCCTGTGGTCTGGGAGTATAAGCTACATAAACCCTTTTTTCTTCCTCCAAGCTATTTCTTTTCTGTTCAGAGTTTTTTTTTTTAACCACAGTGATAGAAATAAAATAGGAGGGGGAGTACTAGTTTTCTGGTTTGACAGGTGAAAGAACTGAGTGAAGAAGAAACTTAGGCTCAGAGATGCAACCAAGCGGCTCAGGTTCCATTAGTGGCAACCCCTGAAGTCTGGACTCAGAGCTCCAAGGTCTATGCTGTCAATCAATTTTAAGAAAACATTACATTTATTTCCTTTGTGTGCATGTGTGTGTACATGTGCCATGGTGTACACATGGAATCAGAGGATGAGTTTCTGGAGTTAATTTTTTTCCCTCCTACCATGTGTGTCCCAGCGATCAAATTCAGGGTGTCAGGCTTGGCTGCAAGGACCTTTACTGCTAAGACATCTTGCTGGTCCCTGGTAATTGATCTTATGGTGCACAGATAAATACATATGCCTTGATTTATATAATTTCATTTATAGTTGCCTCAATTACAAATTTTTTATTGCTAATAAGTATATGCAGTTATGTAACATATGTATTTTTAAATGACATGTGAGGACCAGAGTGGCGCATCTGGCTGATGAGTGTAGGTGTCTTCCTGTTTGGAAAAGTTCAACTAGGGAAAATATGTGAAGAATTTCTCCCCCTTTCTTAATCTTGGTTTGGAATGTAGAGGAAAAGGAATATAAGCCATTGAATTCCACTTTGTCTACTGTTAATACTCTTGGGCAAAAATTACCAAAGAAATTGTAGGTGATAAGGTGAGACTTGATTTCTTTTATGGCTTGTTACAAGGTCCCTGACTCAGCAGCCCAGAGATGTCTTAAGTGATAGCATCATCATTGTATTAACAATAAACAAGTAAATGGAGTGTTCTGTAACCAAGGCTTATTTTAGGTAACAAATTAGCCCAATTGCTGAACATTGTTCAGTCTAGTACAAGAATCAACTGTCTGTGTTTGGATGAAGTGTGTGTTTAGATCAAATGCCACAGCGAACAGATGGAAGGGCAGAGTCTCCAGTGTACCGACAGGCTGACCTCTGGTCTTCATAGTAGCTGCTCTTAATTGAGCCAAGAAGAACACAAGCTTTTTGGACCAGAGACAGGTAGTCCTGCCAACGTGTCCAGATCCTGTATGAACGAACATCATATATTTAATAGTTTACCTGGGAGGTGGTGGGTCTCTTGTACAGTATTCAAAGGAAAGCCTTCAATTCCATGACCATCTATTGCAATCATCGAATGTAAGGTGCAAGCATATATAGAAGGCACCTGGTGGAAAACCTGCCCGAGGCCTCAAAACAGATCATTGGTAGACACCAAATTAGATTCAACTAACCTTAACAGCAATCAAACCCTTAGTTGGTGGACCTGAGCAGTCACTCTGGGCTCATGTGTTGAAGGTTTGGTTTCCAAATGCAACAATGTACAGAGATGAGCCCTTTGGAAGGTAATTGAATCTTCAGGGCTTTGACTTTACTGGCAGACTCATAATTTGATGGCATGATTGGAAGATGCTGGATACTTTAGGAGGCAGAGCCTACTTGGAGAATGTATTCTCTGGGATATGTCCTGGAAGGTTGTATCTTGTGCCCAACCCCTTTGACCTTTTCTCTCGTTGCTTTCTGATTGCTATGAGCTACCTCATACTCCCACTGCTGTGGTGTTGCCATGGAGTTAGTTGCCATGAACCCAAACCACAAAAACCAAATATTAAACCATAGCCCAAATGAATCTTTGAGTTGATTTTCTCAGGTGTTCAAGTACAGCAAGGGAAAGCCAACACACACATGCTTTGCAGTGGGCTCTAGCTTTTCACTATCTAATCTCAGTTTCATGACAATTTATGACACTGCCTCCCAAATCTTAGGTTGTTTCTTTGGCCAGTTCTGTTACTAATCAGCAGATACTGGTTACTGAGTTCCTTTTTTTTTTCTCTGTGTAGCTTTGGGGCCTATCCTGGCACTCACTTTGTAGACCAGGCTGGCATCAAACTCACAGAGGTCCACTTGCCTCTGCCTTCCTAGTGCTAGAATTGAAGGCATGTGCCACCACTACCAAGCAGTTCCTGGTTTTTAATACCTTCAAAAACCCTTCCTTCCATACACAACTAGAAAATCACATTCTCACTTGTGTGCTGAAGTTTAAAATTTTGGTCTTAAGTAAGCAGACAGCAGAAGTGTCGTGATCACAGTCAGGGAAAGGAATAGGATATGGAGGGATGGGCAGTAGGTGGTCAATAGGCAGAGGAGACACCTCACAGTGTTCTGAAGAATAACAGAGCAATGATGGGTGACAATGAATTGTACATTTAGAAATAGCTAGTCCTAACACAGAAGAAATGATAAACATTGGAGGTGATGGATCTACCATTATACCTGACACATGGGTGTGGCAATGTCTCAGTGAACTCCATAAATATATAGAGTTTTCATGTGAGTTAGAAATAATACAAGCTGGGCAGTGGTGATGAACGCCTTTAATCCCAGCACTTGGTAGGCAGAAGCAAGCAGATCTCTGTAAGTCTGAGGCCCGTCTGGTCTACAAAGTGAGTTCCAGGACAATCAGGGCTGTTACACAGAGAAAACCTGTCTCAGAAATAAATAAATAAATAAAAAGGCAAAAAATGAAAGAAAAGAAATAAACACACGTTTTTAAAACTCTAAGAGTAAAAATCATGTCTTCTGTCTCCATATCAGAACACCCAGAGGTACTTTGGCTTCCTTCATCTTGAGAGTCCATTCTACCTGGTTGTAAGTTAGAGTCCATATAGCGTATCATCTTGAGGTTAAGAGCCTGATGAGCTTAATTCTGCATCACTGGTCTCTACTAGGACTTTGAGACTATTTGTTAAAATCCAATGACTACCTCACAATCTCCCTTTGCTTTCTAGGCGAACAAGGAAAGTCCCTGGAGTCCCTGTAACAGGACCGTGGTTGGAAAATGTAAGCTGTGGATGGTCATCGTCACCATTTTCCTGTGTTTCACTCTAGTGATCATTATAAGTTTATGCCTTATAGGAGGTAAGGACTCTATTGACTGTGTTGACACATTTGAAGAAGTTGTCGAATGCTTGCGACTTACACTGAAATGGAGAATGTGCTCACTGCTGTTATACTATTTGTAACATGAATTGAAATATGGCTTGGGCAGCTGGGCACGATGCTTAACCCCTGTAACCCCAGTCCTCGAGAGGCTAAGGTGAGAAGGAGTCTTTAGTTAAAGATCAGCTTGGGCTATATTGTGAGTATGAGGCCAACTAGGGGGCACAAGAGAGACCTGTTTCATAAAAGAAAAGCAGAAACGATAATCAAATACAATGAAACTGGCTTGGAATATGTTGTGTGTGTGTGTGTGTGTGTGTGTGTGTGTGTGTGTGTGTGATGTTGATATGTGCACATGAATGCCCGTGCTGCAGGAGTTCAGAAGAGGGCATTGGAACTTTTGTAACTGTAGAGACAAGCTGTGAGCTAGTTGCCCTGTGCGGGTTCTGAGAACGGAACATGAGTTCTCGGAAGAACCCCAAGTGTTCTTAACCCTCAGCCATCTTTCTGCTGCTTAAAATTTGAACTTGAACACTAATTTACATTTTATTATATTTTAATGAATGCTTGCTTGAAGTTTCTTATAATTTTTTTCAAGGGAAATAATTAGTATATTTGGTACCAAATGATAAAATACCAATATATTTGAGAGAGTTTTAAAAATAGTTTACTGAGATATGTGGCGGTAAGTCAGTGGTTCTCGACCTATGGGTTGTGACTCCTGTGGGGGGGGTTGCATATCAAATATCCTATACATCAGATATTTACATTATGATTCATAACAGTAGCAAAATTACAATTATAAAGTAGCAACAAAATAATTTCATGGTGGGGGCATCACAACATGAGGAACTGTATTAAAGGGTCACAGCATTAGGAAGGTTGAGAGCCACTTACTGAATCAGCTGTCACTATTTTAATTCATTTTAGAAATTACTATTAAATTTGCATTGAATATTTCCATGAAGAAAACATTTGCATGACACTAGCAGTATACTTTATATGTATTATCTCACTTTATGGCTGTGTGTTTTTATTTAAAACTATTATTTTTATTTAAACTATTATTAATAATAGTTGGTCTCATTCTCTTCTTCTCTTTGACTTATTTGCATTTTTAACTGGAGATCACATTTTTACATTCTAGCCCATATTCATGATTTTAATGTTACAATAAGATAATTGTACCAGGTCATTAAAATTTTTGTGAAATATATATATATATATACTGGTTGCAGTATAGTCTTATATATAGAGGTTTTAGTGTGTCTATCTTCTACAGCATTTTAAAGTCTTTTAAGTTGTTACTCTTTTAAGAATTATTCCCTGTATTTTTCAAAGTTTTAAGATGCATAAACATATTACACTCATGAGGTATATAATTTTTACATCAAAATGGGGGGAGGGTAAGAATTATTTTTTTGGTACATGGCGTGAGGGGGTGCTCATCCGGAGCTGGGGTTCTCCTAAGGTGGTGTGACCTCCAAGAGGTCTGAGTCAGGTTCTCAGGAGCAAACCTGGTCACAGAAAACTATCACAAGGACAGGGAACTCTGATTCTCTCCAGAGGGATTCTTGGGCACTTTTTTTTTTCAGGAATCTTGTTTGCTTGTTCCTTTCTTCAAGCGTGATAGCTTTCACAGCCTTGGAGTTTCTCAGATAAGCACCCATCTACTGAGTTGGTGTGTGTTAGGTGGGATGGGTGAGGCTGTGATCTTGTTTTAAGTAGTGAGCATCTTTGGGTTTTGCTGCACCTCCTGCACCACACCGAGGACAATGGCTTTGTTGTGATTATTCACACTGTCTTCACATCAGCTACCCTAGGTGGATGCTGAAACCAAAGTTGAGTCACAGTCTCCGCCCATCTCCAGTGCCTGGTGCAATCCTGAAAGCTGACTGATTGGCCTGGTAGCAACCAAAGAGCCAATCGTAAGGCAGGCATTTTAATATTCAGGACTTGAAACACAATACTGGATGTCTGCCTATTCTCTAGAAATCACCCACTTCACTTACAAAAAGCTCCCTGCAGAAAGTTATTCAGTTTCACTCAAAATGAAAAGCCATGCTTTAAAGTTCTAAATAACTTTTTAATATTATAGTGCAAACTTTAATTTGATTGAAAATTTGCATTTTAACATGTGTTAATGTTATAAAAGAGAGCTACAAAATAATTTTTTTTCCTATCTGGGAAATACTTATTTTATTTGGGATCCTGCTTGCCAGGCTTTATGGCTTGCAGGGAGAATCATGGTAGACCAAAGAAATGGAAAGTACTTAAAGAACTTGAATTTGAAAATATTGTATGTTCAGTTAATGTACCAACTAGTTTTATGTTAACTTGATACAAGCTAGAGTCATTGGAGAGGAGTGAGCCTCAATTGAGAAAATGCCTCCATAAGACCAGGCTGTAGGCAAGCCTGTAGGACATTTTCTTATTTAGAAATTGATGGCAGAGGGCCCAGAAGAAGCAGACTGAGCAAGCCATGAGGAACAAGCCAGTAAGCAGCATTTCTCCATGGCCTCTGCTCCTGTTGCCAGGTTCCTGCCCTGCCTGAGCTCCTGTCTTTATTTCCTTCAATGATGAACAGTGATGTGGAGGCATAAGTCAAAAGCAAAGCAAACCAACCAAACAAACAAACAAAAAACCCAAACAACCCCCCCCAACCCATGTTTTCTTGCTTTTGGTATACTGTTTCATCACAGCAATAATAACAGTAACATTCATCAGTAATAGTTTGTTATATTTTCTAATCTCTGATTTGCATTTTGAAATAAATTGAGATCAATTTTAAAGACTATAGCCTTTCTTGAAGGTCTTAGAATCATTTTGACATCATTTTGCTAAATCACTGAAAGTTCAGAGAAGATTCTTAGTGAGGTAATATATTAAAATAGACGAAAAAGAGTAAATAGATTAAATAGAAGCGAGACAGCAGGCTGCCCCAAATATGCTAGCTACACCCAGGGCTGCTCTGCTAGTAGTTCTGGGATGACAGTTGGCAAGCATCAGCCACTGCCCAATTACTCAGCCTGCTGATATGAGTCACATATTTGCAGAACTTAAGGTACTGTGTGCAAAACAGGGGAAACGGTGGTGTTAGGAGAGCCAGGGGTCAAGATTTCCTGAGACAAAAAGGTTCCTCAGTATCCATATTGCCCCATTCTCCCCCATCTTTCCTCTCTCACATCTCTGAAACTCCAATCTCAAGGCTCTTTAGTTTCCCAACAAGCTGGGCATTGAGCATTGAGGTCGAACTATGTTGTTAAAATAGATGCAGAACAAGACAGTGAGTGCATCCTGCATAAAAAGGGCAACTAGCTGAGCAAAACAGGACCCATGGCAGGGTATCCAGGGAAGAGGTGTAACTGTCATTGTTAAGACTTGCCTGTATGTGGTGACATTTAAGGCAAAGTGAGTAGTTGGTCTTATTTTTGTTCTCAGTCCTCTGAAGGCTGAACACTTGTTACTGTCTAACATTTGGGGTGGGCTCACCCCATCCTCTGCTCTGCTTTGCACTAAAATGACAAGCAATTCAGAGTAGCAACTCAGCTTCAAGTATGGTGTACTGGTCATGTACACAATAGGGATAAGAAGCCATCATGGCACAAGATTCAGCTGACATTGACTTTTTTTTTAACTGACAATTTTATGGGCAGAGTCTAGTGAAGCTTGTTGAATTTGAGAACTGATTGTTCCAGCTCTGAAGAGAATTATATTAATGGAAAATTCCCTTCTCTCTGAAGAATTATAAAATCTTTGGTGGGATGGGTAACGGGGGGTGTCTTAAGCACTGTTGTATTGCTGTGAAGAGGCCCCACGACCAAGCCATCTCTTATAAGAGAAATCATTTAATTGGGGGCTTGCTTATACTTTTAAGATTTAGTCCTTTGCCATCATGGTGGGGACCATAGCAGCATGCAGGCAGGCATATTGCAGGAGTTGAGAGCTATATCCTGATCTGCTAGTAGAGAGAGAGAAAGGAGGAGGGAGAGGGAGAGGGAAAGACAAATAGACAGTTAGAGACAGGATTGGGGAGTGACACTGAGAGAGACTAGGCCTTGCAGAGGCCTTTGAAAACTCAAATCTTACCCCCACTGACACACCCACTCCAAGAAGGCCACGCCCACTTCAAAAGGCCACACCTTCTACTCCTTCCACAAAGTTCAACTGGATTCTAAACATATGAATATATAAGCCTATGGGGGCCATTCTCTTTCAAACCACCACACCACACAGGAGGGGTCATCTTCCTCTTTCTCTCGGAGTCATGGAGTCATTTTCTTTGTCGATAGTTTGGAGAACCACTCAGGCTCCTTCAAGGGTTCCTTTTACTGGGGTAACCGAGAAACACCTTGTGACAAACAGGTGGATGTTTAAACATGGTGTAAAATTAGAAAACTTGAGTGACCCCCCCATGACCCACAGCGTGACAGCTGACCCATCCACCCTGTTAGTTCATAGTGCCTTTTATAGGAAGGAATGCTGTGACATGATTGAGGCAGGGACTTTCTAAGTGATGCAGCGTTGAGTGGATTACTCCATTCTTCAGCAGAGGGTGAGACTTTCATCTTTTGGCGTCACATGAGCCTGGCACACTGTTCTCACAGGAAGATACTTCCGGCTTTGGGTGACTCATGGGGAAATGCTTGGCAGATACCATGAACAGCTGTAACCTACAAAGGTCCTTAGTGCAGCAACTGAACTCCCTAGATGCACTTTCTTAGTTACTTCACATTTTCATCTGTCAGTCTTTCCACCAAATCTTTGGTAATTTTCCACCTTCCCAGGACTCAATTCTTACTTGTGTAAGGTTCTTCTAAGTGTAGTAGTCTCATCTCTCCTTTATGGGATTTGCCATGTCACAGAGGTATTGCTTTCTCTCCTTTCTTTTGCTGCACAACTTAGAGGTGGGTCTGCATTTGAATCTTGCTCTCTGAATGCATCTAAATGTCTTGTGGCCTATTGACTGAAGTTTTATT